CATAACAAATATCATGAAGGAAGTACTTTTCCAATAGAAAATATAAACGAACTTTATAATATTTTTCAAAAGCTTATACCTGAAGTGCAAGTGATAATCATACTATTTGATAATCAAATTTTATTTTAACATCCTTATTTTTCTTAAGTAAACAAGTGACATTCTATTGCAGTCATTCTACTAGTCTATGCTATTCGTCTATTGTTCGGGTTTAAAAAATTAATTCAATGTCTTATCTATAGAACATTGTAAAAGAAAGTACTACTTTAAATGCTATCACTTGAATCTGATTATATCATCATTACTAACGTGGTCTACATTTAAGGCAACATGCTTAATATTAGTCCTACATTCTATGCTGTTGACCTGTAGCTAAGTCTAGTATTGAAGGACTATGAATATCTAAGAGAGACATTAATATTGCGACTGGATGTTACTGGAATGATATATGTTATGATTTTTATAAGAAAACATGTCATTAAAGTAAACAATAATCATTTAACCACACGGCAATAAGTAACTACATTATGTAATTAAATTCTTAAACACCCTAAAATTATACAACAACGGCCAAAATATTAGCTATAACCTTTCACAAATAGGTTAGTAAATAAGACAAATAAAGTGTGATAGAACTGTCGTATTGATAACAGTAGTAATCATTTTCAGTCAGCGAAATAACCTGCAGTAGAACTTGTTATAAGATATCTTTACAGGATTCCATATACCTTTGATGGTCAACAATTAGTCAGCTAAATGATATTACAGAAAATTCGAGCTACTTTAAGGAGAATGTTCAAAATATAATATGGTGATTCGAGGTTATCATGTTTAAATATCTTACAACAATTTTACTCATAAAATTCTTCTTGAACTAAATTTTTATCAAATGATTAAAGATAACCCTACTTTATAAAGTATCTAATAATTTTACAAAATTTGCGGTGTTTGGAAATACATGCTTTGACAATTACACTTTTCCAGAATACTAATCTGAGTTCTTTAAATTATAAAATGCTGTTTGATGCAAAGTAGTTCAGGCCTCCAAATTATAGCCCTTGATCTAATAATAAATCTATATAACGGTATTAAACAAATTTTAATGACATCAATCACGATTTATTAACTAAAAAATACCAAATTACACATCATTTCTCTTTTAAGTTGTTGAAGACGACTAATATACATCTTATGAAACCAGTTTTAATCTTGTATTCTGTATGTAAATGATATTGTTTCCATATATAGTTCATTAACTTAAATTATCCTCGAAAAACTCTAACAAAAGATACTTGTACAAAAATATCCGTTCGCAATGTCTAACTTTATAGCACCAATTTGCGGTTTAGGCTCAGAGAATAAATTCTTCTTAACAATAGCTCTAATGATGCCCGAAAGCTTTTGGGCCGTAAATTTTAAATTCCCTTTTAGATGAAAAGCTAATTCTTTATAATCTTTACACTATTCATTTCTTTCGAATCTAAGACGGTAATCTTTTGTAGTGATTAAGATAATGTGATCATTGTGATGAAATTATTTTAATAATGCCAAAACATCGATTGGTTTATTTGAGGTAAAACTGGAAACAAAACCATTCTACAATTTTTAATACCTAATATTACCACTCAATTGACTCATGATGCAGAAGTATCTAATCGTTTTTCACCTAAGATCTTTACAAATTTTATATTAATTAAGTTACGAGACTATTGACAAATTTATCAATAATAGTAGAAATTTCATCACATCTACTAAACTATATTAAAATAAATGGTGCTATATACTTATAATAAAACAGAAGTAATAATGCAATAACTTATATTATAATCTACGAAGGTATAAAAAAAGATATTTTGAATATAATTAATTTAATTCCCAAACTTTGAATTCCTAATAGCGAACTTTGAAAATCTCTAAAATGAAGACATGGAAGTACTTTATGCGACAATAATATAAATAAAATGTGTGTCCATACTTTGTTTCATTATAAAACTATTCAATTGTTATCTTGCTGAACAAAAACAAAAATATAAGCTATACGTTCGATGACAAGTTGATTTAAGCTATCAGTGCATATGATCGGTATTTCATAATCTTTAAAAGCATCAATAAGTGTTTATAATGCTTTATAATATCCTATATATTATATATTGTCACGCATTGCGCTGTTAACTCAATCAACAACTGCATCAATTATTCGATATCAGTCACAAGGATTAATGCACGGGAGCAGATTAATAATATTTTAACAGAATTTAATATACGTGAACTATCTTAAAATCTAATATGTTGCGGAATTTATCAATAGAAAGATCGGACTGGACTAATTTTTTATTGATATTTTCAATGCCTCAATAGGAGAAGTTATAATTAAGTGATCCATAGATCACAAACAATTGATTTTCACTAATTTACTAACACGAAATTAAAACTTTTTTCATAGGCAGAAATTTATTGTAAGTGAAACTGCTGTAATGCACCATTAAATGTGGTATTAGTAATAGGTCTCAACAAGTCATAAGTTAATAATCTGCTCATAATGATCACTTTTAAAAATAGATACATTTTGATCACATCTACTTTAAATGCAAAGAATAACGAGATAGGAGAATTGAATATAAAGTCTGGTAAGGAACGAATTCATAGCTCTAGACTATTGATTTATCCGTGTAACGGTACTTCATAATCTTTTAGAATCGCATCTTGGTCTTACAGGCAATAGGATCATATTTAAGCAGCTATTTACGACCTTGCATAGAATTAAATATTCAATTTAAAATATAATCGAAACATGGCCAAATTAGAGCTTATAAAAAATTTATCTCGTAACAAAATATACAATTATAAATTCTTTATTAAAGAATTTCATGTGATACTCTATAATTATTAACTAAGTAATAACTATTGATGCCACCAGCAACACCAGTTCTCATTATTATTATAAAACGGTAAAAATCATGCCTGCAATAATAACATTATCGAAATCGCAGATGTTAGACAAGTTCACTTCAGAAATTTAACTTGCCTGTTCACTATCAATCGATGGCGAGTTTCTTTTATCATGCCATCCGTATAAATATCTAACGTTTGCAATAATAATTAAGACCGTATCGCATACAAGATTATTTTTAGTTAAGCTTCCGAGAAAAATAAAAAGAAAATGTAAATAAATATAAAACGATGTCAATATAAGTTAAGCACTATAATACACACGCAGCAAATATTTATTTAGACTGGCTGCAACCTTAAGATACTATTGTTTTTCAACTTTATTGATCGTATACTTTAAAATTAGAATCTATAAAGCAATATATCTGTTACCAATAATGATACTAATAATAAAATTAATTACTTTGCTGTTCAATATTCTAATGTAATGATTAAAGATCAAGATATATTATAGCTGACTGATCTGATCTGATAATTGTTAGGTGGAATTACAATTTAAATTTCCGTCGAAATTCTCAACCCATGACCACCAATTATTTCCTGCTTGAATAATACTTATTCAAATATTTATAACAGAGCTAATTGCAAATTTCATAATCAAATTTCCTATCAATTTCTTTTCACTAAAGCCAGCATTGCCCGAATATCTAGCAGATTTGATATGGTTGATTAATCTTAGTTGCCATGTAAGTACTGATTCTATAACATCGTTCTCGGTATGGAATTAAGCGATAAGTAGTCCTTATCTAGTCTATGAAATACTTTCATTAGGAAGTAATGAAATCACTTATAACACGTAATAGATTTAAAGGTCTTATTCTAGTTTAATTTTTTAATTTCCTGATCTTTCAGTATGTCATGATGTAAACTAAAGCATAATGAACCTTTTTTATGAATATACAAGAATTCCTATTGGTTGTAGTCTAGATCCATCTTCTTTCAGTTTTGCATCTAGTAGATAATGCTACCATCAAAACATTATTATTTTTAGAATTCATTTCCGCTGTATAAAGTGCCATAACAAACTTGTAACTCCATTATAAGTTGCTATTATGAGTGAACATACTTGTTTCTCCTGAATTTAAATGTAACGGATGATGCCTATGGTAATACTATATACCACGTCATATCATTACAATATCTACCGGTATTTTACGCGCCTGGTCTTGTGTACAAATCAGCTATAATTATTTACTATATCACATGGCAACATAAGTAATATAATTTATCTCTATGATCGCAGAAATATCCGGCAATTAATTATAAATGCTACAAATCTAGTAGTATTACGAATACAAGATACCGTACTTGTTTTAGGATTAGAAGCTTAATAATATTTTTAGGCTTATTAATTCCACACTGAAAGGGGCATAATCATCATCAGAGTATTTCAACATTTCATTTTATTTAAGGTGTTGCTATCTATTGTATTAGTCCTTTATCAATTGAATTTTTCACTATTTGCATGGCTTACTACCCATCAGACCTATTTAGTTTATGTCAGAAGAACTGTAAAAACAAGCATATATGATCTAGGTGCAAATCTATAGGCGAATAGGTGAAAGATATATCATATTAATCATATCAGATACGATTATCTCTAGTTTACATTAATCGAAAGACATAAAACACGCCGTAAATATTGATCTGGGATTAGTGAGTAGAACAGAAAAGTGGAGGCTTTCCGTAAATGTATATTATATATTCATTTGATCATCATTATTAAATACTAAAATGAGATTATAATGCGAAATACAACACAATAATGATTAAGTTAGGCGATCCTATAATAATCTTAACGAATTGCTTACATTTTAAAATTTGCTAGAATAAACACTTTAATCTTAATGCTATAATATACTATAATATAGATATCGTTATTATTTATCTATCTACGATATAGTAGGTAAATTCTTAGAAGAATATTAAAATTTGCCGCTTAATATATCATATTTATAAAAGCGAAAATTGTTCAGCTTACTTTTGGAAATTATAATCTATCCGCTCTATTTATTTGACTAAACACTAAACTAATATTGTTTGGCAATATTTTAGGCTAAACTATCTACTTGAGAGCCATTTCCAGTCATCTGTCTTTTAGTGCTTCCGCCATTAACTTGGAACAAAGTTGATTGAGGTCTTCGAAGTGATTCTCTAGTGCGCATTGACAATATAGAATAGTTCGAGCTTCTGATAAGCTGAATCTAAGAAACACAACATAATAAATGAAAAGTTCACAAATCAGTATAATATAGTAATCGATTAATTATAAATAAACCTTACATTAACTCTTCCAATATTTTAATCTAAAATTTATTGCTTATAGCTACAGTACCAAGGCAATCTCGAAATCTCTATTTACGCTTAGTATAGTTATCCTTACCTTCGGTATAAAGAAAAGACACATACTAGATGTCGCACAAATTAGTATAAATGACGAATTAATAATATATCCTCCATCTATACCAGTTTGTGTCAATTGACCCACTAATACACCGATTGTTGCGAATATAACAGCGTTATAGATAGCTAATCCAATATGACGAGAATCGTTTAATTCTGCAATCGAAACACTTCGTGTCTCCCATGCCAAAAATGTACCAAATACAAGTAACAGAAATTTATATCCGTAGATAATTGCTAGCCAAATAGAACTATACTGACAACTGCAAATCATCGTTTGCGGTTGTATAATAATATTGGATCCAAGCTTAGATGGCTATTATTTAAATAAAGTACAAACATTCAACAAATTTATAATAAATAATTGATTATTACTTCTATTAAATACAATAAAATTTATGCGACCGTTTAAATTTAATATACTGTAAATAATAAGAATAACTTACATAGGATGTAAACTTTTCATATTGACCTGTAAACGGATCAATAGCTATCCATACTCCCAAAATAATCAAATCAACCACAAATAACAAGAATGTTAAACCAAAAAGAGAATGGTCTTTGATAACCTTTAATAATATATTAAATTACATCAAAGTACTTTAGTAAATTAACTTTAATCGAATCGTAAAGCTATTTCGTTGTTATACTAGCATTATAGAATACGAAATCTTGATCTAAACACTACTGTATAGTATGATGAAATGTTATTTAACAAGAGTATACGAATAAATTCGAGTTAAATTAAATAAAAAGAAGTTAATTACCACTTTTGTACTCGTCTTGTTTGTAAAAATAACATGGACTCGCCAAGTTTTAGCGAACATAGCGCCGAATGATAGTGTAAATCCTAAAGATAATAGACTAACACGAGCAGTACAAATCGCTGGTAGATAGATTTTATTAACTGTACCAGAGTCTACTCCAAACATAACAACAGCCACAAAGCATAATATAAAACCAATTAATATGAGATTATTTATTCTTGGACTTGACATTTTGATAACCCTAACATAAACGAATTAAAAACAGTTGAGATAAGTTATCGAGTATATTTATCCCTTTAATATAAATTTTATAGGCCAATTTGCAAGATTGGCCAAATGATATGATGTACTAGTACGACATTTACCGCAAATTGCGATGCAAATAATTGATGTACAAAAATGTAAGGGCAGCTATCATACCAATCACAGATAAAATTGACATAGCAACGAATACCCCTATGGTAATGTACTTTTCCAAGTAGCTAGTTATAAATCCATCGAACGGAACATGACCCCCTGCGGAATAAAGATTTTAATACTTACGATTAAAACTAAAGTATACACTTCATTATAGATGGTAACCATTGGAAAAAATTTAAGGAATATACCTGGCCAAATAAGTGGTTCACTTTCATTAAAAGTTATCACTTGACCTACACTCCTATACGATCCCACCACAACTAATCCAGTAGATGAAATATTGCCTATGATAGGATTATTTACGATTACGATAACTATTAAAATAACCATTTACTCACATTCTTTTACTTAGTGTAACATTACTAAGATCATGTTATAAAGATTCTCGCACAGCAGAAATTTATAATCGCTAACAATTATAGATTAAACGGCTCGCTAACATCAGAAATCATTTCTACAGCCAGTACATTAACATTACTATAAATCTACCCTAGGTATAAAAATCATTTATATTCTTATTCTCACCTCGGAACTGCTGTATATAGGCATTCCCAACCCTTGCTCCACTTGAAAAACTGAACGGACCCTTTTATGAGAGATAATTTATTTAAGATCCAAATCAGGAAATTTACTACTCGTACTTTGGTAATGTTTCATCATAATTAATTTTTGAATTAACATTAAAATTCAAATTTTCCTAAGTATGGATAGAATTACCAATTATGGTACACTATTACAACTATATCCTCAATTTAATTGATATCATCGTGCGTACGAATCCGTCTAGAAAAAGATCATAAAGTCTTATCTACACTTTTATACATACGGTTAATCCTAAAAAACTAGTCTTTTGAATAGCAATATTGAATATTTCTGCTATCTTGGCGTCGTATTTAAAATCAGCGAGGCTTGAATTGAGTTGCCGTAATTTATTATCTGTTTCATTTAGAGCTGATGCAAGACACCATAATGAATCGTAAGCCAAAGGATTCGGATAATCGTCACTACTACTTCGAGTTGTGTTGGTAAATTTATCATAATTATCTAAGAATTCTTGAAATGTCTATAAGAAGAATTATAGTAAAAGACAATTACAACCAATAATTACTTTATGCATTAGCTTACTAAACCCTATAATTTAATATGGTTTAGTCACTTTACGAAATTAGAGCAAAACATTTACGGATTTTAAAAGATAGAGCTCAATCATGGTTTGCTCATCATTCCTAATCAATAAGTATCATGTTATATGCAACTTACAAGTCCCGGAGCGGTCATTGTGTTAAAATCAGAAAGGAGTGGAGCATTCGTGTTACGAAAGGCTATGTAACCTTTGGCTACTTGAAGGATTTCGTAAGCTGAACAGTTAGTTAATGGTGCAAAGCGATTCCACCATAACCTCTGTGTAAAGATCGAGCCAAACCAAGCATAGTTTTCTCCATACATGCCAAGTTTGTAAGCCTAAATCATATTACGTTGCGTTAAGGAATTTTTAGCAGCACATAACGCAATATTCAATACTTAAACTAATAAATTTAATATTACAATGACGATAACGGAAGTATAAATTCCTTTTCAGTTGTCGAAAGATTGATTAGATTAATATACTATGTAGAAATGGTTCCAAGCCTAAGACTAATGCCGATACAACGTTGTAATGTAAATAGCACATCCCCTAAGACGCTTATTGAGACTCATTAGAAAAAAAAAATTGAAAAACTGAGAATCCCATCAAAAGTTATCGTTGGAACTGGAGAACACAGTGAATAAGATAATAAACCAAAGCAAATCTCTATTTTAGTCTCTTTGTTAACAAATAAAGGTTGACATATTTGATTTAATTTTGTACCACCATATATTTAATATGCACTTAATTAATATATATTACGAATAAAGTTATGGTTAATCAAATCATGTAATATCGGCTATGTGAAAAAATAAATCTTCAATAATTATAATGCATAAAACATGGGTTAACAGATTTGTAAACGAAGTTATTCGGTTTATGCTCTCTTAATTGTTCGAGTAGCTGAGATCCAATCATTTCTTAATAAATTTTGCAATGTAACTTGACAACATTATAGTATATATTCATAATTTAACCAACATAGGAGCAGACCGTACCGTACTGATGAGAATAATTACTTAGATCAATACACAAATGCAAATATCATTCATCAAATTATAGGATTTACGTAGACATCACATTTATAGCAATGGCAATCTAATATATAAAGACCGTTATTAAAAGCTCCATATCCACAAATATTCATATGAAGATGAAGAAATAATAGCTTTCTTAAAGATTAAATAGAATACTGATAATACGAGTACCAGATATGAACATTATTCTATTCTTTTTAAAATTTACTAGGGCATAAAATTTAAATCAATGGCGATCTACTATTTGAAGACCGTTATTAAAAGCTTCATGTCTATAAAAATTCGTGTGAAAATAGAGGAATAATAGCCTTCTATTAAGGGTAAATACTGTAGAATATTGATAATACGAGCGTCAACATCTGACGTTGGAATCAATGCTAATGTTTTGCTCGTTGAATCATTCAAGGCAATCTACTATACTTGAGGTAATCTGGAACAAATGATAAATGATATTTGACCTGAAGCTCTTTTGAACAGGAAGGACCACGAGATTTTATGTATCGATAACAATAAACATGGTTTCGTGTGTTTTTATTCAAAATAAAGTTACCTTAATTCCGCCTGAACACTATCCTATAGTTTGATTTATGTGACAATCGCGTAAAATAATGATTGTTAATTATTATAAATCGAAAGTGTAGTATTGTTTTAATTTTATGATAAAATTCTTTTCAGTAAGAAAATAACAACTGTAAATTTATCCATTCCAATTTAGCCCAGTTTAAGTGAGTAAGAATATGAAAAATAATAAGATGTGTAATACTTCCTTTGAGTAATCCCTTATACTGTACAATGTACATACAATGAAAAAGTACTATAGTTCCATAAAAACCGTAAAACAATTACATTGAAGGACTAAAGATTAAAGTACTGGTATTTTATATCTGATCAATGATGATAAGAAGTAAAAGGTATTTTTGGCATTTATAAGGCGTAACTTAAATTAAACAAGGATTGATTCAGATAAGAATAAAACAAAAAGAATTTAATTTTTAATCAGATATTTTAGCATAGCAAGGTATGACAATAGCTGCTAAAGAAATTTGGCTTTATTACTACCAGATTGCTCAGCTTATAAACTATGGTAACTAGATATTAAATTAAAAAATTAAACAATAAAATATCCTATAACTTACGTGGCAAAAAACTCTGGCCATTATGCGAGGATAACCAAACAGGAAAATAATTCGAGCACCTTTTTCCTAGGAAAATATCAAAAAATATCGTAATTGTATTCGATAAAATTGAATATTAATGCCGGCGCTATTTAAGCTATTCAAATTGGCACTGAATAAAGCAATTTATTATGCTACGTAAGAGTCGCTTATTTATGATTAGTGCTGTTATCAGCTGCGATGCCCTTTTTTATATCGTTTCCAAAAAGATTTATTTAAGAAGTGCTTCTGTACAATAGCAAGTACAAATAGTGTAATCGCCTTCGCGATCAGAGTATTGAAGCACCCGTAAATTACGTCTGTGATCTCACTTTCATTTTATTGGGCAATATCTCTTGCTTTGATATCGTTTGATATTCCATTTAGAAACATAACTTAGGTTGTAGCTACGTTCAATAATCAAAATTTTAAATTAAAATACAAAATTCTTTTTTGACATTCACTGTTACCTTTAACGTTTTAACTTGTAAATCAGGTTCAGTGACAAAAGTTTCCCTTGCAATAATATTGATACTAGCCTTCTCCAATTCTGTTTGCAAGTGCTGGGCTCCCTATAATATAAATACATCGATCATTAAACTTTATACTTTCAAATTATAGTAAAGAATAATTGTAATACTACACTAAAGTGTGGGTATAATTAATTAAATCGATAAATGTCACACATATGGATAGATGGATACTCATATTTTATGAAATATAGACCACGCTAAGATATGTCAGTACGCTTACTAACATTGTCAAATAATACATCGCTATGATACAAGATAGCTACTCTTTTCCATCCAAATCTTTTCACTAATCCTACACGAACAGAGTTATATGTAATATCCGTCAATAGGCTACTATAGAAGTAGGGAAATTCCTCTCGATTGCTGAATTGTGTTGATGTGGCCCCAGCTGACAGCTATAGCATCAGAAAATAAGAAAAATAACTAGAGATATCAAAGGAAATCAGTCTAAATTACAAGTAATAATAAACTATCATCAAAACCTGAATAAGATTCCAGTAACGAGCTATAGTAGCAACCACTGAAGACGAATGAGACGTATAAGGTCCCAGTAAAGCCATAAGTTGTGGACCGTGTAGAACTTCATTGACAAAGACTTTTCCAGCAATAATTTTGTTATACTACTAGGAGAAAATATGTAATGTCCACAACCGTTGCCGTATTTAAGAATTAATATTATAGAAAAAATTGAAACTTTAAGACACATGAGCACGATTAACCGTTAACGCAAAGTGCTTACCCCGTCATCTAATAACTTTAGCTTGAGTTCATACTGCTCGAGAACATCGCTTCTCGCATTAATATCACGTATTGCCATATCTGCTACATTTTTCATCATCTTCATCGAACTTTTAAGGTAGACGTAACTTGCTGGATATGTACCTCCTAAATGTAACGGCGTCTTGGTACCAGACGAGTAAACTGGAAGAATACATAACGCCAAATAACAGAAACACAGTGTTGAAGTTGAGTAAAGGTCTTTCTTAATCATATTCTTAACTTCTTGATGTCGTTAATATCACGTAAATGATCAAAATTACGACAGTTCGAAAAACGATTAATGAATTCGTATTACTGATGTTGCTTTTATTTATACCTTGGTAATAACAATGTGCAGTGTAATAAAATACAAAGTGTAAATTGATGCAAAGATTGAATCATACAAGTATTTACTATAAGTAGATAATACTGGAAAAAGATTGAATATGATTTCAATTTGTTGACAGTTTTGCATAATTGAGAACAGCTCAACTTCATCTGTAGCGATACCCACGGGTTAATTGTTTAATCTGTCAGTATGTATAAATAATATAAAATCGAAATGTCAATGTCTAGTTTTGACTATGAAAAGTCAATATTTCTTATAACTTAGTATATTTCTGTTAGTAAATTTTAAATTGATTACAAATGACGTCAGTAAAATTAATTACGCTTATTATTGTCTTTTAGATACTAAGGGAGCGAATTTATGATTCTGCTTTGTAAAATTTTGCTTCAGTTATTCGACGAAACTGATGATTTTTATTTCTATGCTTGGACTTCAATTACTATAACTTGATTTGTATGAAACAATGGAAATAAAAATAAAGTAATCAAGGTACGTACCATGTCACAATTGTCATATCAACTAAAGACTACCGTATATTTAAGATTCAATTTTGATTAAAATGGAAGTAGAAATCAATATTGAAAACCTTTATGATGACTTGATTATTCGTGAATGCTGCAATTTAACCTAGTAATTGAATTGATGCATAACCTCGGCGGAAAGCGAATTAAAAGGTTGAACAACATTTGTAATATACTGAGAATTGCAGCAAGACTAACTGCATAAGTTGTTTGTTTGGATGAAAGATATTAAATCTTAAATTTTAAAAGAGATTGAATCCTAAAAGATATCAATTCAGCACCTTTTATCTATAGCATAAAATAGCATTTTATGTAGATGTTTTCTTCTCATAGTAATTTGTAGAAATAAAATTATTGTACCGTAGCTTTAACGTGTAGACGTTATTCACCATTAGTAGTAAAATAACTACGGAAATGTTATTATGGCTACGAAATACAGTTACGTAATTAGCCACGATATTACTATGCTAATCTGCAAACCTTGATTTAAGGCCAGTTGAGTTTTCAACAGTGAATATAAGTAATCAATATTTAATATATTTAACTACCATAATATTAATTTATTCTCGTAACGAATTAATAACCTTATAAAGGATTACTTTTTTGAATAGCATCAATATGAGTAAGCAATCCTATATTGAGAAAAAGCGATTGCTTTAATCGTAAAGTTTCTTGTCGTAAAACATCTGGTACATAAAACAAGGGCAAAAATATTAAAGTTAAACAAATGATATACATGTGTCACAATGAAGAATTAACTGATGTTTCAGTCTTTGTATTAATATTCTCTACAGCTTTTTTAATGCATGGTATCTTATAACTTCGATATTATAGTTAATACCGTACCATTCATATATACTACTGCATGTATTTCAATCGAATGTGATCATTTATAGATATTACATAGACACTACATATTTTATTGGGTTTGGCAACACCTAAAATACACTTTAGATTAATTATAATTATCAAGCTAATATCTGACGTCCTACGGTCAGATATACTATGTATTCAGCCAACTCTGCGTATAAATATATCTAATAACAACATAGTATTCGGTATACACTTTGCTTATTACTTATTATAACAGATGCCATCGTCTCTAACTATAGCAAACAATGGCATGTATAGTTAGTATTATTAAATACTAAATTGAAGTAAAGCATGATATGCGCCATTACAATAATTTTTTAATTTTAAGTCTCATGATAATCCTACAAACTATATAAATCGACTTTGTTTACATATAATTAAAATGTTCTGGAATTAGCATATTTGTTTTAATACGCCACAAGTAGACAACATTCTTTTGCCTATACATAATAAAACAAGTAAAAGCTTTACGCGGATTTAAAGGATTCACAGCTTAAAGCACGATAGCTTTCAATTGAGGACTTAATTTTACTTTGACAACATAGGCTATAATTCCTTAACTGAACTCTAAACTAATATTGCTCGCTATTCTTAGGCTATACTTTCTGCATGAGAACCACTTCCAGTCATCTGTCTTTTAGTGCTTCCGCCATTAGCCTGTAGTATACTTGATTAAGGTCTTTGCATAGATGATCCTCTACTACGCATTGACAATATAGAATAGTTCGAGCTTCTGATAAGCTGAATCTAAGAAACACAACATAATAAATGAAAAGTTCACAAATCAGTATAATATAGTAATCGATTAATTATAAATAAACCTTACATTAACTCTTCCAATATTTTAATCTAAAATTTATTGCTTATAGCTACAGTACCAAGGCAATCTCGAAATCTCTATTAACGCTTAGTATAGTTATCCTTACCTTCGGTATAAAGAAAAGACACATACTAGATGTCGCACAAATTAGTATAAATGACGAATTAATAATATATCCTCCATCTATACCAGTTTGTGTCAATTGACCCACTAATACACCGATTGTTGCGAATATAACAGCGTTATAGATAGCTAATCCAATATGACGAGAATCGTTTAATTCTGCAATCGAAACACTTCGTGTCTCCCATGCCAAAAATGTACCAAATACAAGTAACAGAAATTTATATCCGTAGATAATTGCTAGCCAAATAGAACTATACTGACAACTGCAAATCACCGTTTGCGGTTGTATAATAATATTGGATCCAAGCTTAGATGGCTATTATTTAAATAAAGTACAAACATTCAACAAATTTATAATAAATAATTAATTATTACTTATATTAAATACAATAAAATTTATGCGACCATTTAAATTTAATATACTGTAAATAATAAGAATAACTTACATAGGATGTAAACTTTTCATATTGACCTGTAAACGGATCAATAGCTATCCATACTCCCAAAATAATCAAATCAACCACAAATAACAAGAATGTTAAACCAAAAAGAGAATGGTCTTTGATAACCTTTAATAATATATTAAATTACATCAAAGTACTTTAGTAAATTAACTTTAATCGAATCGTAAAGCTATTTCGTTGTTATACTAGCATTATAGAATACGAAATCTTGATCTAAACACTACTGTATAATATGATGAAATGTTATTTAACAAGAGTATACGAATAAATTCGAGTTAAATTAAATAAAAAGAAGTTAATTACCACTTTTGTACTCGTCTTGTTTGTAAAAATAACATGGACTCGCCAAGTTTTAGCGAACATAGCGCCGAATGATAGTGTAAATCCTATAGATAATAGACTAACACGAGCAGTACAAATCGCTGGTAGATAGATTTTATTAACTGTACCAGAGTCTACTCCAAACATAACAACAGCCACAAAGTATAATATAAAACCAATTAATATGAGATTATTTATTCTTGGACTCGACATTTTGATAACCCTAACATAAACGAATTAAAAACAGTTGCGATAAGCTATCAGCAATATCTATAACAATATTTAATAGAGCGCCGTATTTCTAGATATACGATAAAAAATTGACTTCATATAATTAATGTAATGATCCAGTAATTACCTTAATTTACGATGTATAAAATTAATTGCTAAGAACATTAGGGCGATTATCATGACAACTGCAGATACAATTGACATAGCTGTGAAGAGCCCAGAGCAAATATACTTCTTTATGAATCTAGTTTCGAATCCGTCAATCGGAATATGACCTTGATCTCCTATACAATAAAGATTTTAATCGATAAAAATAAAGCGAAATTATATCTATAATAGATAGCTATTGAAAAACTTTAGATATACAGCTTATAGATTTTATATCATAGCGTAAGATAAATAACCTGGCCAAATGAGTGGTTCAGTTTGATTGAAAGTTATTACTTGACCATTACTCTTATACGATCCAATTGCAACCAACACAGTAGACGAGATATTACCTATGGTAGAATAATTTATGATAATATAATTTATTAAAGCTAGAATTCGTCAATATGTCTTTACATAATGTAAGAGGAATAAACATATCTAGACAACAATAAAAATATCGTTATTATGAGTATTAATTGTTAGCAATAATTTAAGATAGAATTTGCAGTACCTTTACAATGTCCTAATCTAATCATAGGCTTATAGAAACTATTTATAAAAAATTTTATGTATGCTTCAAAATTGCATTACTTGCACTTCACTTACTTCTGCTCCATCTGTAAAGCTGAGTGAGCCCTTTATGAGAAAGATAGCTTAGTGTTAATATCGAAATTAATCAATTTACTACTCATACTTCAGTTTCGTTGGATTATTGTAAAGATTTATAAAATATTTAGTAAAATGATTTCATGGAGCTCAACTTTACTAGCCATAAATAAATCTACACGTCCTAGCGCCGTAGAGAATTATCTAAAGTACCGTACGAATTGTACACTAAGTTATTTTGTCAATATCTTCGAGTCTAATTACGCTATTTTATTATTAAAGAATGGATTCTTCAACGTGCTCCAATACGTACGTTTAATTCTAAAAATTAGTCTTTTGCATGGCAGCGTTGAAAATTTATATAGCTCCAGTATAATATTTAAAGTTAGTGAGGTTAGAATTGAGTGCCCTTAATTTATTGTCTGTTTTATTTAGAGCTGATGCAAGACACTATATTGCATTGAAAGCCAATGGATCTGGATAGCCAGAATTAGCGCTTCCAGTTGTGTCAGTAAGTTTGTCACAATTATCTAAAAATTCTTTAAATGTCTCTAGAGAAGATAACGGAAAGAGTTATCAATTATGAAGTATGCTAACTGCCGTATTTTTGAGATAAATGATTTATCCATTAATGTGCGATCGTGACGAATTTATCTCGTCTCTCTCGTAGTGATATCAGTTCATTACTTATATTCCTAATTTTATACAACGAAATTGCTGCGCCATTGATATTGTTTTTATAGTATCTATTAAAATGATAGCAATTTCTGTAATACGTAGAAATTGAATATATTAAGCATGATAATATGGTCTATTCCTAAGGAATTGCAATTTAGTAGTTACAGTTAAAGTATATTTACATCGCTATATCAAAATGATGCATTATGAGTTACATAATTAAGAGTCTCTTGAATTTGACAGTTTAAGTTACTTGTTATTTAATTTAATTAAATATTTTTATATCATTCAACTTGTACATATTTAACAAGAGTTTGATGAGTTTTGGAGTCGTATTTTAAGTGAATTAGTTTCTGTGAATAATTTCAGCGTTGAAAAGCGAGTACAGTTACATTTATAAGATAATGGAATGCACTAAGTAATGAAAATATTTCAAATTGCAATGACATGGTATGTACTTCCGAAAGAAAATGTTTATGCAAAGATACTGCTAACCAATGATCAAAATCTTTATTTCGTAATGAGACTCTCTATTTCGTTATTTCAATGTCATGTTATGAATGATAGAATTCATTATTGATTTGTTTATCCGTACTAGCAAGCTACATAGTAAATACTAAACAACTTACAAGTCGTTGGGCTATTATCGCACTAAAGGTAGTAAGTGGAGCAGTTTACGCTTGTTAGAAGGCTAAACAATCTTTAGCTACGTGACGGATTTCGGAAGCCATACAATTAGTTAACGAAGCGAAGAGATTCCACCATCCTCTCTGAACAAAGTTTGAACCAAGCATAATTTGCTCTGTACATACCAAGTAGGTAAGCCTAAACTATCACATATTATGTTACTTTTAATGGCTTATATCGTATTATGTACGTCTATATCCATTAAATAGATATTTCATCGAAGTATGGAAATACATATACCTATAGCTGGCTTTCTTACATAGAACGCAAACAGGCTGTTTTGAAAGAAACAAGCAGCACTGCTAGCATTGAAAATAACTTTATCGTTAGTAAGTCTCTAGATTGAATCACGTTATCTTACTCCATTTAAAGGTGCTTACTTCAACTGTAAATATATAGGAATGAACACGCTTGCCATTTACATTATATTATCGATCCAATTATTTTTAATTTTAGACCCCTATTAATTAATTAATTACATCACACTGAAAAGTGCTAAGTACGTAGTCGTATTCCATTGTTTTTGACCGAAATTTCTCATTTTAAATAAAGAAATCACAGCAATAAAATCATATTTCATAATATAGCTTATGCTTGTGCTTCTACTGTAGAATATTTGCTGCGATAGCTTACATCAAAAAGGCCTAGGCAATATCAATACATATGTAAAAGTACCACCGTTGAAGGCATAGAAAATTTTATTTTAAAAATTTTGTCGTTCAAGATAACATCTTATTTTGGGCTTTCCGAGGATGTTAGTATTACTATCAGTAGTATTGACTACAAATGCAGTAAAATCAATTTTTAAAGTCAATGTATCACGTTAGCCGGTAGGATAACAATGACAATATAGTATATCTCAAACTGATGATTAATTAACAAAAATATAATAGATGCGTATATTGAAAATAAAATCGAACCATGAGCTGCAAGTACTCACAGTGAACACAAAACTGGGTATAAGCTTAAATTGTTGCAGGTTTAAATGTCTAATCTCTGCATCACTATTTGTTATCAACATCGACTGCCATGCTGCAGGACAATTGGATATTCATGCGAGAACATATACAGTACGTACTGTCCTGTAAGCTAGAAGATAACTAACCATGATGCATTATAATGGCCGGTGTAGTAGAGTATTTCAATAATTGCGATACAGTACAGTATACTGTACGGCTTTACAGCTGTACTGTACATATACTGTATGTATATACAGTATACTGTATAGTACTGTACAGTACATATAGCATGTCTGTATATCAAGGGTATATCACAAGTGTCCTTTGTCGTCGTTGACTCGTAAGCAAGATGTACATTATACAGTATAGTAAAAGCAAAGATCGTCGGGGTCGAGCAAATATGTTTGTTCGGTTGAAATAAATAAATATTTCTCGCATCAAAATTAGATAGAACCGTGAATAACCAAATGAGCAGACTACGGTAATGTACTACATTATACACCATCATCAAAACGAAATGACATTTGACAATATCCATTATTTTTCTAACCGTAAGTTTTACAAAATTTCTACTTGTGCTTGGACATTGACTTGTTGACAAGTGGCAACACCCAGTTACGCCCCTGTAAATAAATACATTCTGCTGTACTGTACAGTACTGCACTGTAAATATACTGTAATTAATCGACACATTTTCATCTACTGTACAGAAATAGGCTGTAGGTTTTGCACTATAAAGCAGACTTACAGTAATGCAGACAAGCAGCGACTCAGTCCGGCCTTGAATTAGACCAAGCTTCTGCTTGTATTACAGTAGAATACTGTACAGTGCTGTACACTCACAGAATACTGTACAGTACAGTAGTATACAGTATACAGTACATCCAGTACAGTAATATGAAACGGTGACGAATCTGGAATTGAAGGAGTGAAAAAAAAATACATTAAAGTCTATCCCTTCGTTTTTTAGTATTTTTCACAAGTTTGCTGTCTGGTACGTAATACTGACATTCCGAAAGTGCTAAGATTTTAACTCTCACAGTACTTACGATTACGAATATTGCATGTGCAATGTGCGCTGCTGTACTCAATTGTACAATCTGTCTGTCCGTATAGCGGTACAGGTACAGTACAACATAAGGTATTTCAAAGGAAACGATTATGCTTTTGTGTTAAACCATGATTAAGCACTATTTGTGATTCAAACTGACAATCTGAACATGAAATTAGCATCTTCAGTTCAGTGCTTATGCTCTAACTTTTGGGTTAATGAAAATTCAATTTGATTACGTGATACTAGCTAAGTTAATGAAATGTGCACTTACGTGATACATTGATTGACGCTGTACTGTACTGTACAGTACAGTATGTATTCATATCCTAGCCTAACATACAGTACAGTACACTGTACGGCAACTACTGTACAATATGCTTATCGTGTGCTGTGTAAAGTTTTCATTCGTAGCCTTATTCTTGTTTTTTAACACTCGATGAACTACTTTGCATTAAATCTACCGTACCGTGGTGTAACTGCCAACGCAAAGCTATGTAACCTAAAAAATACGGGTGGTTAGGTGTACCTATTATTCCGCGTAAAAATGTCAATATGCTTATTATTATTATTATTATTATTATTGTTATCGTGAATACGGCGCAGAACTCCCACAGACGGTAGATCCCACCTACTGTAAAGCAGCCCGGCAAAATGCAGACTACAGAGTGCAGAGGACTGCTGTACATACAGTACAGTACTGTACAGTACGGTACTCTATCTGTATTTATGTTTCTTAGTATCGTATGATTCTGTTCTTGTTTGTCATTAAATACCCTGGGGCGGTTCGTATTTTTCTTTGTCTAAGCTAGCGAGTTGTTTGTCACTTCTTTACACGATACTGTAGGACTATTACACTACGTAGCGCTACTGAGCGCCGTGCCACAAAAAGCACAATAAAAATTAAAAATTATTTCACTCCAGAATCTCTTCTTTTATTACTCTTCTCCTCTTCACGCAGTCCCTGAATGTAAACTACTATACTGCATGTACGGTACGCTACACTACTGTACACTTAGCTAATAATTTGTAGGCTCGGTAGTCCACGATTGCCCGGCATACTACCGGCCGGCGCTGCAGTTGGTGTTTTAAATTTAAATTTAATGTACAGTACTGTTTGTAAGTTTTTGTGCCGATGATTTTCTTTTTACCTACGGTCTCCAATGGCCATGTAACATTTTTAACGATAATACAGTACAGTATACGGTGCGTTATAATGAATTCGACCCGTGTAACCTGTATAAGCTATACTATACACAGTCAGTGTACTCCAGTTCAACAATTCAAAATGGACAGCATCATCAACTGTTGCATAGCACTGATTCCGTCGAAATTCCGGTAAAGAATGATACAGATGTAATGGTGCTGTAGTAGCACAGTAAACGTATCAAATACAAGTACTGGACACAGTCTATGGATAGTACACGAAGTACAACGAGCGAAACATATACTAATATTGTAATAATAAAAAAAACTGATAAAAAAAAAAAAAACGTGGAGCAGATTTTTTACTCGAGTAACCACTGATTTCGTTATGGCTGCAGTACTGTACACTATACAGTACACAATGTACAGTACCATGACCTGTACTCAAAATCTAGACCCCCTTTTTCAATAGCCCGTGACCGTGACTTGAATACGCGTAAAGAAGAAAAAGTGCTCGCTAATGAATAGCGGAAGTGTCAGATGGTACAGACGCAGTGACATCGGAGATGACAGAAAAAACAAACAAATATTAATGAGATCGATTCAACGGGGGCCGTTCTGCTATGAATGCCGCCATAGATCGGATGACTATAACTTTTGTATTCAATCACTTTCAACAGTGAAATCGCTTATGAACATTTCAATCATCGACCGTAACTAGCCAATCAAATTAGGGAATCGGCTTACGTACGCCCCCCAATTTAGCAGCACGTGACACCACACCTCCATGATCATCTCAAAACAAACTCTACCTTCTACTGTATCCTTCTTCCAGAAAAACCGGTAGTTTTTGTAGTTGTTGATTAAGCAGGAACAAAAACCGTCGCGGCTACTTTTCTTTACTCTGTGGATTTTTTCTCTAGATATTGCAGTCTCTCAACTTCTTTCCATACCTTCTGTCAAGTATAGAATTATTCGAACTATTCTCACAGATAAAAATTGAGATTAAAATTACGATTGATAATGTCTCTAGCAAGTTTACAACATCGGACGTTGAATAGCAGCGTAAAATGTGTTCGTGTAGCGGCAAGAGCAGACGACGGCTACTTTTATCCAGGCGTGCTTGTTAATGGCGATGATGCTTTAAACTACGGTCAAGGAACTTATACAATGATATTCGATAACGGCCAGTATTCACGAGTAGATTACAACCGTATCGTCGGAAACAATTTTCAGCGCCTTGATAATGGCTACCCCTTGCGTTATGGTCAGATCGCATACGTTAGCTATTATGGATCTCAGGTAGCCGCAAACGTGATCGATCACAGCGTTCGTGAAGGAGAAGTCCGATTACAGTTATGCAAGCAGCCAGAAGTAACTATCATTCGCAATGTTGCTGAGGTTAATTTGGTCCCCGATACTCCAAATAAATATAGAAATCGTAATGGTTTGAAGCGTTCGTTATCCCGCGAAGTGATCTACAAAGCAGCGAAGAGGTAGGTTGTTAACACTACTTGCTGCACCTATAATTAATGCAGCAAGCACTGTACGTCGCTAGTCGCTACTGTATAGTCTGTATCAGTGATCGAACTTGAAAAGTGCACAACCTTTTAAAATTTTGCTATCATGACAGCGTTCAATTAAGACGACAGTAATTTCTCTTGTTGTTTGGCGTAAGTAGCAACTCGCAACAGTTCATTTCTAAATTGCGTCAATAGTTTTTTGCTAATAGACTGCAGTACGCAATATCATGTAGCCCCTTTTTTCTTTTATCTGCCAATATTCTTATAGGTCACACATTGAAATACTATACTTTTACTTTACCGGTCGACTATTTTAGCACATTTTCCATGATTTTTCAATAATTAATTCAGACTCTATCGGCAATTTTTCTTTTTTTGGGACAAAGTACAGTTTCGTACCTTTTGTGCAGATGTTGGTAAAGGATACTCAATACGTGTACTGAAACTGTGCTTACGTACTTTGGTTAGAGAGAAGCATGTGTGTAGTACGGTAGAAAGTTTTATTTGGTACAGCGCCCATTCCACTCCAGTACAGTATTGCATACAGTGCATAGTACTGTATGCGATATTAATGTACTGTATCATCGGTGACGCCCGCCCAGCTACAGTGCCGCAAAACAATACCATAAATGTATAGAAAATTTAGTTTACGGTTAGTGCACCGTAAGCCATTACTGTACCGTATGTTTCCATAGTTTCCATTGTGTAAGCACTAAGCAGTAAGCAGTATAAAAGCAATCTGCTGGAACTGATGACAAACTGCAGTACAGTACTGTATGTACAGTAATGTACAGTATTGCAGTTGTGGAATAGTACTGTAAAATAATAATAATACTGTATTATCATCTGCCACGTTCAGTACATGCTGATATGAACTACGTAATCAGTAAAAACTGACTCTGAAAAGGCGATCTGCAGTCAAGGTCAAATAAGCGTTGGGAAAAGCAGCATGCGTCATCTTGTTGCTTGCAACGTAATTAATTAATTTCAATGCAAATTGATGATTGCACAAGCTCAGGGATTCTGTATCATTTTAACCTACATTCCTAAAAGACATCAACTTTCGCCTTACTTTCCCTTTCGTACAATACCTGAGTAATGATGCCTTCGTCAACATTGACCGAAACACACGGTGCTGCCATACTGTGTCGTACTATTATAGAATGCACGTTGTCGCTTGCAGCTCATTACAAATTTACAGTACATGATTATAGAGTATGAATTAATTTCACTACGACCGGATCAACTTGATGGTGCAAGTTTCATGTGCTTTCAAAACAGCACTATGGTATGCACGCTTAGATGTGATATTCGCAGTACTGTATATACACTATGACACATAGGTGCTGGACAACATCATCATCTACAGTACATTACGTTATTGATGTACTACTGTAGTCGCTAGTAGCACTGGTTCCATATTGTTTGTATACCATATATATATATATATATATATATTTTAGATTACATACTCGTAAATCTGCCTTTGTCACCTAACAATAACATTAATCCTTAAGTATGTATGCTATCTTGATAACATTGATCTTCATTAATGAACGTTTGCAAGCTTGTTACACCTAAGCTAACACTAATGCAATTGTGTTTGAAGGCGAGCTAGTTTAGATGAAGATAATGTGATGGGTGAAGAAGAAGCCGCATTGGTATTGACAACACTATGTAACTCTCCATTAGGCAAAGGTGTTGAAGAAAGCGGTAATTGATATGCTAATTTAGGACATTGATGTTTCATTTCGGTTCGATGCGGAAGAACATAGTACAGTAGATTAGAAGACGTAGCTGATTTCCTCCGTATCTGTCATTGTTCAATTTGGAGCCATTTTTGTTTATTAGTATACTAATCGCTTCAATGATTCATACCATCATAGATTCTCCTCGACCCTTGTGTAATAGCGATATATCGTATCGGCAAATCTGCGATGAATCGCCTCGTACTGAGTGCTCTAAATTGCCACCAGTTCAAGAGCAGACTAAAGCTGAACAAGCAGACATTTCTGCGAATTGTGTAAGTTTTAGCCTTATGCGAGTAGCTTACATCCTAAATCTGGTATAATGATTGTGTAAGATGATATAGATATTTAATAAACTTAAGCGAATGATGTATCTATCCTACGCTCTATTTATAGAACTCATTTTATATTTACTATATTATCTCTTCAGTCACCTATCAAAACCGTCTACTGTTGCACATGGCCGAAATGTAGGAAAGTCTTGTCTACTTATCCAGGAATTATCCGCCATATCCGTACTATCCATTTTGGGTAAATTAATTATTTCTTGATTGCTGTCTAGTTTCGTATAAGGACATGTGATATTTAGCATTACATATTAGCATATAGAAGCCTATTTTTTTTATGCCAATTCTATAACATAGTTTTTATTATCGTTTTTTTTGCACAGTTATCTAGTTATAATATATATCACTACCATATTAAGAACCTCTCGAGACAAATATAAACTTATAACAGTATACTGCATATTAAGATTAATTGGTCTTATTCATTTCTTATAATATGTAATATATTTTTATGATATTCAGAGACAATACTGAGAAATTAGACAACGGAGAAGAAGAATTTTATTTTACAGAGGTTGAGGTCACAATGGATAAAGTAGTAGATGATGTTGCTAGCGTAAAACCTTCGTCACCAACTGAAAGTGTTTTTATTAAAGAACAAAATACGTATATAACAAAAAAGAGCAAAGGTGATGGTAAAAAGTGTAGAAAGGTCTACGGAATGGAAAATCGTCATCTTTGGTGCACTCAATGCCGCTGGAAGAAGGCATGCACTCGCTTTTTAGATTAGGAACTGATGACAATGGTTCATTTTACCTTATTATTGGTTACTGTATAGCGTATCTGGTGATCCTGAAGTAACTTCTATTAAACGTATATCGTATACCAGCCCGCATAGTTGCATTCAGTGTTCTGTAATGCATTTTATGCATATTATATTAATGCAGTAGTGTAACATAAATTCTGACTGACCACAAGTTGTCGTCACTTTTCAAAAATACGTACAAATTTACAATGTTTTATGGAGATAACGCTTTTAATTCTTAAGATAGCGCACTATTGCATATGTAAATCTTATGTATCATTAGATATCTATTTACTGTATATTTGTTCAACGCTGGTTTATAGTTTGGAGATCATGTTTTAGGTATCATAAGGTTGTAAAATTATAATGTAACGGATGATTATTATTTGATCTTTCCTTTTCAGATATCATTTCATAGTTCCTATGTAATTCGTTAATTAAGATGCATCTAATTATAATTCATTTTTTATAAGAACTCAGATTACTTATATTCTACTGAAGTAGAATATCATTTTTATGCTAGAGAATGAGATGCCATGTGCGTCATCATTCGTTTTGTACCCAAATTCAAGACTTTAGTAATGGGATATGTATGTAGATTATCGAAGTTGATATAAATTTCGTTGTACTGTATTTTGATAATAGTAATAATTAGTTAATTGCCGCTGTTACTGTTATGTGGCTATACTTTGCTTCCCTTATGGATAAATGATAAACGTATACCCACACTATTATATTGTATATTTGAAAGATGGTTCAATTATATAGCTGAAGCAAGCTTATGGACATTATACAGTACATGCTATTTAAATTTACTAGAAGTATGATAGACGTAGCGGTATGATGCTCTTTGCATTTAATACAAATATGTACGTAGCAAAGAAAAATACAATATTGTAGTCAAGGTAATTCTTTAAACTGTTGAAATTTTGTGCGCGAAGTCGTTTAACCGACTGTTGCAAGTAATGTATATTTTATGAATTTCACCGTTTTTATGGTGGTCTATGGATGGGTCTTGTAACGTCTAATATTGTAGATTACGTTGTTAATGAATATCATACCACTCGTAAATAAATTCATTATTGTGAATAAACATAACTTGCCGGCAGAATCTATAAATTTAATCTCTCTGTCTCTTAAATATCATGCACTAACTTTAACGAACACCGCGAGAATATTGAAGCTCACTGCTTAAACAATTCTACATTATAATGTCAGATGGCCACTTTCATATAATGCTATTGCGTAATATGTGTATACTATTATGCGTTAACACAAATTGCGGAAAGGGTCATGACATCATCATTTATATATTCATTTAAGTAGTAAAATTATTAAATAATATATTCGTGTATTATATATGGATAATTACGATTATGACCGCAAGATAGAGTTTGTTGAATCTCAGTACCCAAATGTAAGTAAGTCTCCAATACACCAATAAATAGACGGCATTCAACAGTCTACAGTAGTTTGTAGGTCAATTTCAATTAAACTTTAACGAATCAATTAGAAATTTAAATAAAGGGTTTGAACTTTTTTTGTATCCAAAGGATTTAAATATATATATTAAATTAAGAGATTTGATTTAATGTACCATAGTTCATTCTTATCGTTGCTTAAAAACAAAATTCAATATTATATAACAAAATACAAAGATACGAAATCTGTATATAATTGATGCAATGTCTACCTGAAGTAAAATTAAAACTCAGCATAGTGCTGTATTTTGGCCGTCTTCTTATCAAAGCGTTACGAACTATGGTTCAGTACTAACGATTAAAATTTGCACTTAAATCCTTTTAAAAAAGTACTCAAATTAAACATTCAATTGAAATCAGTAATAATCTTGGTTAAGCATTTTGACGTCTTCTTTCCATCGGCCTCATAAACTTTCATATACCATTGCGTAAAATCCGTAAACTCTGCAAAGCTTTTGGTCTATCTTAATCTATAAATTCTTTATCCATTTGTTTTCCCTTCAATCATGTAGTTAAAGAAGGCAAAAATCTTTCAGAAATTTTCGCAACTAACCATAATTGTTAGCATTTAGGTTAAAAATCATATTATATAATGCGTATAAGTTATGTGACTGAATAATCATTTTTATGATGCAGCCAAGATAACATCCGAAGTAAACTATAAAGAATCAGATCACTTATGGTAGCATAGTAGCTGGAAAGGAAAATTTACGATTCGATGGATTTACATTCAAGATATACCCAACTTCGCATTAAAGTATATACCGTAATATATGCTTAGAAAATAATGACTACAAATCAGTAATAAATTCACATGATTTGTCAAGAAATTGTTGATGAGAAAGGTCACTCTGTATCAAAAATTATTCATTACTACGAACACAAGACCTCAATATTTAATGATTTTGAATACTATGAGAAAAAAGAAAGGATGAAATTGGAACGGCTAGGATTTCTACTTGATGTAGATTTACACAGTACGACTTGTATGTGTGCTTTTCAAGTCATAATTAGTTATAAGTTTAGTCATTTCTTACTTTCGTGGATGTGAACATTACCGGTATAATATAATCAAAAGATGATCGTGATTTAATTACTATTATATAAATATATGTATATAATTATAATGTACCAGTATTGCTTAATAAACAGTAGGAGATACGTTCGTCAACAAGGCCAGGATCATAAAGAAAGATGTAATTCTGAATATTGTGATAAACTATTTCATAGACGGTGGCGAATTAGCCTAAAGGTAAAAAATATGCGTAATTCCGCAGTCAATTGCTACTTTATAACTAGTAATATGCCTGCAGCAACCAGTCTGCCGATATATTTCTTAATATTTTTTATTAATTAATATCAGTTGTTATAGTCGTAATCCACTAATATACCAGCGCCAACTTTATTCATAGTAGTATGAAGAGCAGTAGATTACATCTATGTTATCAATTTCTGAACGTTTTTAGAACGTAATAATTATAATTGAAGCGGTTATTTATACATACAATGAAATCCAATAGATTTAAAAGTTACTTCAGCAATTAATACACAGTGTAAATTGTAGGGTAATATATAGCTTAAAATCAATATCACAGCTACTAGAAATTATTTATTGGATTAAACTCTATCTTTTCAATCATTCTAATTCCGTTAGTAATAACTTTCCTATATACCAAAAGTATTGGTAAGTCAAATATTCGAGTAACAACTATGATAGAATAGCAACTATCACTATCCACAGACTTTCTTTTAGAAAATTGTACCGTACTATTTCGTTAAAAGCCAATCCATATAAGAATATAAACACCGTATTGATTTAAGGTTAAAATTACTACTTATGCCGTGGTAGACACCTGGAATTACTGCTATAAATACAATGCCATGATTAAGTTTATGCGGTCTATTATCACAGGAGTATTATGCTAATCTACATCAATCAATATTATGAATTGGTTTATGATTGAAATATTCTCTGATTTTTCTCTAGGGATAACATGTCGTAACTTTATTACTGAAATGAAATACAAATCAATCGAGGCTATTATGTGCTCGTAGGTCCATGCCAGTTGTTATTGAAGCTATACAGTGTTCAATTCTAGATTCTATTAATTCATCTGCAGTGCTTTAAGTACTATTTGTATTTATTTTGTAATCTGCGACTACCAGCATACCGCGATCTAGCGCTAATATTGTTATTTTTATAGGCAGGATAGTTTGCATAGGTAATCCATTTCGACTTCGTGCATGCCGTTGAGCAATAGCTATCAATACCAAAATTCACCAGTGTTGATGATACAGTAGCATAACATATTGGAGCTATTAATCAACTCGACGATCATAAATGATTACGATAGAGTAGAAAAATTGGATGATAATACATCAAAACAAATACGAGTGCATTGTGGTGCATTTGTTGGGGGTACTACCACCACCGATACTGCTGTATATTTTAACGTTAAATAAAGGTTACGGTAAATGTAGATAGTCATTTCGTATCAAACTGTAATCACCCTGTCAAATGGTATTGTAGATTTACTGATCTATAATTCTTGATTGTAAATTGATGAAGCGAACAATTAGGCGTCTCCTCTTTAAGATATAATTTCATCCTAATTATCAATAATAAAAAAAATACCCATTGCATAGCTACACAACGTTGAAAATATATTTATCAAAATATTAACAAATCGAAGAGTATTTCTCCATTTTAATATATAATCCGACATACAAACGCAATAGTAATTTGGTATTCTTCGAAAATTCTATGTGGAGAAATGGAACTCTATTTTCTCCATTCTGTTGAAGTACTATTTCATCAGTTATGACTATTTTGGATTTATAAATTCTATCTACATCTTCTTTAATCCGAAATCATTTAGTAATATGTTTACTTTCTAATTAAGTTAAGAAATAGCGATACAAAATTGAATTTAGAATTATTTACATTCACAGTCTTCATAGAGTTACAGCAATAAATTTTCATTAAATGATCATCTCTTGACCTTGACAAACCTAATTAGAATATTGATCGAAAGTGACAAAAGTAAACACCTGAGCAAAGTCCCTTGGAAATATGGTAGTATTGCTACTTAAACTAGAGATTAGTCATCTTGTTTAATGTTCACACCAAGGGTTTACTACTGCCATCGTTCAGATCAGTACAGGACTGTAACGGTAGCTTGAGAGTATTTCCTAGATTTAGAAATAGCAACAGGTCTAGTATGGACTACACAGTACGGTATGCTACTGCACTCTACGCTATTGCAATTTTATGATTGATTAATGACCTACAGCAAGCAGTCTTTAACTTTGACAAAATTAACAAGAAATCTTTTAAGATTATGTTAAGACGAAGGGTTGGGCTAAGATTCCGTAGAATAAAACAGCAAGAATGAGCCATGACTTTTACATCTGTATTCTATAACAGAGTAAACAGGCTCCAACTAAACCCTAAAAAATTATATGAACATAATAACACGGAAAACTAGCTGCCATTCTGCGGCACATTTAATTAGAAAGAATAAACAAAATTACTTCTGTCTGCAGTACACGCTTAGTATTCGTATAATTATGCCTTACGTACTTTATAAACAGTCAATGAACTTTGTCGACCCGCATAATAAATATATTCTGGTTATCAACTATTAAAGTACTTTGATATTGATCAAGATTTGAGGAAGCTAAATTTTCAAGTTGAATTTGAGTGACACGAGTATGATAATATCCGGTTTGTAGAGTTTATATTTCGACTATTCATCCGACAGTTTATACATAAATCTAATGTTTATTATCAAGGTGTGCATGGTGACACATTACAATCTTTCAATGACTTAGTACAAGTGAACATGTGATAAAAAAGTAAAAATCAGCATTGCGCCAATAGTCTCCATAATATATCGGTAACGACATCATAAAAGCGACAATATAACTGCGTAGTATTGAACTGATTAAAAATTTCATCATGACAGTAAGTTTTTCGTGTTTACATTTTACTTGATTATAACAAAAGGTCTGCCAAAATTTCAATCTATTCATATAATGAAATTGGTAAAGCGCACACACGTAGATCATTAACGTTATAAAACTAAAAATATTTTTCATTGTGCGCTTAAATTTACAATCAGTATACTGCTTCATTTTATTGATTCTATCCTGTGATTCAATCAGTATTTAAAATTATTGAGCAACGTAATGCAATTAATTAAGTAACAACTGTAATCAGATATATCCTTTCTTTGACAAGAAAATTTAAATTACATCTTAGCCATATAATAACAGTTTCATACACATATAGAAAATATACATGGAAAATTACACTTTAACTGCTATGGATGATTACATTAGAATTAACTAGTATTTACATCATCAAATATTTCGTATTGCTTCTTACATATTTCGCTCAAATGTATTACAGTTAAGAAAACTGTCATTAGCGTACACCGATATACGTATTAAGTACTAATTGCACTTGGACTTCCAGGCAAGAATATAATACTAGAAAAACATATCCTAGAGTTTTAATACTACAGGATGGCACTGTAGCAATAGTGCACAGAGGCCACTTAAAAAGACAGTATAGCAGCACTACGTACTGATTTTATAATTTAATAGCATTATTACTTTACATTCTACAGATAATCTCGAAATCCAATAAACTTTCTTAATGGACATAATTGTGCAACCTTATTCGCTAGTTTTAGCCAATGATACTTTTTTTATTTCTTAGCCATCTAATTTTAATCGAATAGATACCGACTACAGAGGCTTTACTTCATGCTTTTCTCATCTTTCAGTTCTAAAAGTTTCCTACCATTGACAAAAGCATGTATTGATAATTAGTAGAATATCAAATGTTTACTACGTCACACCATGTGCTCAATAAAATCGTCGAGACGATGTAACATATATCATCTTCAATTAATTAACTAGAAACGTTCTATGATCAGCTGAGAGCGTAATACAAAATTCTAAGCTGAGATATTATGAAAGCTTTTGAAATATATTTAAGTTCAAATAACATATTGTCGGCATATCTAGTACTGATGTATTGTATAGTATATTATATTGTACAACCTGACTATAATTTGTTACGCAAGCTAAGTAAAGGAGGTATTAATTAATTTGTAAAAATAAGTATTAACTGACTTACTTTTGAAGAACTTCTTTGCGCTGTTTTAAAGTCAAATTTGCATTACTGATATCGCGCAACGTAGTCACCTTCCTTTTCTCAATTTCATTAATTCCTAGCCACGGACAATACATTGATAACCATAATTTCTGCAATATATAAATATAGTTAGCCATGACTTGACCATTCATATACATTGTAGTGGCAAAGATAAATTTTCATACATACAATACAATGTGGAACAGTGGAAGGACGAATTATTTGCTTTCTCATTTCATATGACGGGTTAATATAATCATTAATAACGGTAGCTTGATTAATGTAAGACCTGCAAATAAAAAGTTTAGTTCCAATGAACAGTTTCGATTACAAATGAATCTAACAATAACAGTTTATGCAATACAGCAAAGATAATTTACATACCAAAGAGAGCACGTTCTTTTAGGCAATTGAGCCTGTAGTCTTTGAGCATGACTATCATACAGGAAAGTACCTATCAACGGATAAATCTGATGTTATTGGCTTACTGTTTAATATAGTACTATCCCTAAAGGATTTTACCAAATTCAGATGAGTATGCTTTATGTCCTAGTACTCTTAAAAACTCTTCGTTGAATTCAAAGAAGCAAGGATGTTGCTGCTGAAGCTGTATAATTAAAACTTACTGTTAGATTGAATACATTTTCTAACTTAAAAACTGTTACAGTTCTTACCTGCCAAACACAATCAAGGAATAAAAGAAATACAGGAGAGGTGGAAATGTCTTGAGTATTACAAAGCTTAGAGCAACGAGACGAAAACGGATGACCACCCAACAACCATTCTCTTTCAATTAAAGCTTGAAATCTATTCGAAAAAATTAATGTATGCGATTTCTTACTTTATGTTGCCGACTTAAGCTAATGAAGATCGGTTGACGACAAAGAAAACTAAAATAGCAACGTATTATCGAGAACAACCATAATATAATTAAAGCCTACCCCCGAATTGTTCTGCAGTCTTGATCTATCATAATTTGAGCGAGAGATGTTATTTGAAGAGTCGCGTCCATACCATCACTACCATGGACTAGAACCGTAGCACCTATAAAGAATCCCAACACAATTTAATCTTGTAGCTAATCCCATAAGCAAAATTTTCCATTATAATAGATAAAATAGTATTATAAGTCAAAAAACTGTTACGGTAATCAAGGATAGCATTCTCCGGAATAAAATGTGAACGAAATACCTTCATCAAATAAATAGCCAATCACGAAACAAGCAGTGTTCAAAATAGATCTAACATGATTGAGCCAATTGCTACTGCTTACTCGGCTAAGCCATGCGCTCGATGAACAATCGAAATCACTGGTGGCTGCAGAAAGGATACGAATAATAAGAAATGAAACAGTTTAATTTGAACCTTGCGACAAGGGCACGCAATATACTGTACTGTATTACAAGAAATACACCTATATATAATTGTTTGGTTAACAACTGCTATGCGAAGTAAGGTAACTCTAGTAGTTCATACGTTACTACTGACCTTCTACTAATTTTGTTAAACTATCCTTTAACGAATTGTAGTTTTCAATCCCACGGTGGATACGGTGCCATTGCGGATAGTAACACGATGGCTCAACACCACCACCTTTTTAGTGTATTAGAATAAACAATAAGAATTTCCTGCATAGTAGTGCTTATAAGCGTTAGTATCAACTTCAACCTTTATTTTTAATATTGGTAGCGTAATTAGTTAATCTGGTATCCACAATGTAACAATGCTTTGGACCAAATATTGCGGCATTTAACAACTTTTCATCTTCCTTACAACGCAATTCGTTCGGTCCAGATAATGGTTGACTACTCCTCATCAGTACAGCCTTTATTATTAAGAAAGTTTTTCCAAGATTAGAATAGCGAAAGAAAATTACGTTCAATACGAAAACAATGGCACAAACCTTTTTCGCATGGTAGATATACGATACTATAGGAAATCTTCCTAGATAACGAAACTTGGCTGATTTACAGATAATATTCTCGTTGACTGAAGAAGGAACAAGGCACCGTTCCGGGTAGGAACTACAGATCTAGAAATGTATTTAATGATAAGCTTTTAGGCAATTGGTACTAGACTGTCAAGTATTCAACTACCGTCATTAACGATAGAAAAAGGGAATAAAATGTTATAATATACTGAGATGAGATACACGGTAATCTGCACGAATGTCACTATGCTTCAACGTGGCTGTAGAAATGTCGATCAATGACAAAGTAAGTTGGCACGTACCTTAAATCCTTTATTAACTTCTAATACGCGAAAGTCGCGAGATCCAGCAGTTAATCTAGCATATTCTGTTTCTAAGTTAAACGATTTCCAGCCGTCTTCAGTTATAGCAAAGTTAGGGTTGTAATAGAAGGCGTGATGCTTATCGATTTCGTCTGCAGTAAACAATTCAAATACACGTATTTAATAATTGAAATACAGTTTGCATAATAAAGTATTGTAAAATAGTAAGTAGTCGATTAATTTATAGCATCTACGTTCTAATTCTACAATATGAACCCTGTAGAAAGTCTTTATGTAGACGTGTACAATTGTGAAAAAGAGGGAAATGTAAAAGATTATACCGAATATCAACAATGTCATAAAGGCGTGCAATCCAACAGAAATTAATTAGAACATCTTCAATTTACCTTCACTGATTTTTACCAACTTTTCAATGGATTCGAACGCATCAGAAGCTTTCGTTATATCTCCTATTGTTAGCTGGATATTGCGAAAGTTTTTGCATCTAATGTTAACTACCAGGGATGAATCAGTGATCTTTTTTTCAAGGGAGTCAATGCTGGATATGAAAATCTAAGACATAAAGAGGAAAATGATCTTATGTTACAGGGCGAATAAACGTCAGTATTCTGTATAGCATATACTGCACTGTATACTGTCTATGCACGTAGGCATAGTTTGGATATGCCGTAGAATATGAAATTAGATAACGCACAAGAGTTACGATCTTCTACTCTTGATATGGGCAGATCTACTGGATATTACTGTAATTGTACAATATCTGTGACATCTAGTATTACAGTATGTAAATCCTAGCCGAGACCATTATCATATTGGAAAATTAATCATTGACTACAGCATATTATACCAGGTCTAGTACAGTAAATAATCTCCAATATTATACAAAGTCTCTACAATGCATTCCCTATCATGTACAGTAGTATGCCAATTTCTACTATTGCAATTGCTATACGAGTGATTATTATTGTATTCCTAGCAGGCGAAAGATTCTCTCAACAATCTGATGATTAAGTCATGGATGAAGTCAACTTGAAAAGAGAGTACAGATGCATATACGTTGGGGTCGATGGCTTGCGAGTAACTTAAGTGTTCTTTATTTTTTTTCTAGTTATAGTAATTAAAGTTTGCAATTACGCTCGTAAATATATATATATATATATATATACAGTAGATACACTGCAGTACTGCACTGTTAACAACCCATATCCTATTTCTGGGTACACTTAGGGTATCTCTCTATGATCTATCATGATATTACTAAAAGGCGTGCATTGCATGCAACAGTTCTAACAGACCTACTACTGTATTCCACCACTAATAATGTAGCTAGGAAGCCATTGAAAAGGGAGTGATAAAATTCAGTACTTGACAGAGGTATTGCAATGTGAATTAGACAACACTCGCTGTATCATAGTGTGCAATTGCAATCAATACAATCTTGTTACTATAGATCTTTATAAAAGTAAGTATTATAGTATTTGAACTATAAAGTACACACCATTATCTACCTATTCCTATAGACATACCCATAATTCGTCTTTCTTGTTTTCTTTATCAAAAAATATCAACTGGTGCGATGTTAAGCATAAAGTTCCAGACACGGACTTTCTTTCGCCTACCATGGTAAACGTTACATTTTCCACCTGAGGTGTTTTAATAATATCCATAAACTCCATGATCATGTACTGTATGGAAAAGTGATTGGATGACTGAAATAAATCAAATAGCACAGAATGATTTAATCCGAGGTAGAGTATCGCTTCAATTCTATTTACGTATAGGATGGATAGATTTCCCACTTGACTGATCCACAACTATTGAATACTGCAATCAGAATCACATGAAGGGAAATAAATAAATAATTAATCCCTAAAGGTTGAACTACAGACTAACTCTTGATGTAGTTGAAATTGCGGACTTGGCTGGACCACCTGGACTAAACCCTTAGGCTTGTTCACTGAGTGGATACCGTAGTACTGTACTACGGTAGTAGAATGGGGCGCGATAAGCCCTGGCACTTTAATTCCAGCAGGACTGTATACGGTATCGTACGGTACGGTGCAGTACCGTATACAGTATGAGACGACCATGGTACAGTACTGTACACTGTACAGTACAGTACAACCTTCCTGGTACTGTACTATGCCATGGACTACTAGAAGACGGACTTGGACTGATTACAGTACTCTCGGACGGACAGGCGCTTTCGGCCTGCAGTACAGTATCTCGTCAAAATATTGAGCGAAACACTTCGTTATGAGAGTACTGTACACTGTAGTGTACAGTATTGAAGTATGCAGACGCTCCATTCTCAATTGACTGATTTTTAGTAAATTAAGTAAGTAATATTACATTGTATTCCATTGCTTAAGCTCTGCTTGGAAGCAGTCACTTTTAAGTCATGAATGTTATTCAAATTGAATACGAGTGATTTAGAAAACAGACACGGAAGATTCATACTAAGTAGTCATTTTTCGGTAGTACCTCATTTGGTAAAAAGTCCATCCATCCGAGGCAGCGATCCGTCCTGGTCTCCTTCTCGTCCGTGACTGTTCAATGATTGTAATGCAATGAGCATATGCTGAGTAGAGTACTGTACTGTCGATTGTGCTAGGTACAGCGCTAATACTAAGCAGTCAAAAAACGCACGCACATTTGTGCAGCTCATTTGGATGACCGCAGTTGAAATGACTGACAAAATAGACCGACATTTCCGGTCTACTGAACGATCATTTCCAGATCCCTGATTGCTGTATATTTATACATAAATGCATAATCTCCACGGTCATATAGTTACAGCATCATTTGAGGCGTTTGAGTAAAGAAATAGTCGCCTGTCGTCATAAAAATATCAATCGGAGTTTGGAGCGACATTTGACTCAAGTCTCAAGTACAAAGCTTTAACCAACCTGCTAGGATTGTATGGAGCACTGGTCACTACTGTCTTTGCCCTACCCTGTCCGGCTCGGCTAGTTTACGCCTTGGATCTTATTTAGTGTTTGCAGTAACATGACTGCATGTATATTAATTAACTCTCTTTTATTTTATAAATTGAATAGTCCTGACTAGTAGTATTTTACTCCACATGCACATAATAATATTATTATTACTGTAAAAAAGTGCTGAAATCTCGACATATGAGTATAGTCTGTATAGACCATAAAGGTATTGAACCGAACCGAACCTTTTTCAGGTAGACTCTACAGTATATGACTTATCGTTAGATCATGGGATGACGTCAACGGTGTAACTTAGCAACGCCGTGACGTCCGAAGAGAAGTGCACAATGCTTGACATGATCGTAAATAAGATGCAGCGCCTCAAGATAAAAGCAATAAACTATACCCACGACTGTATATTATATTATACAAGATAGTGTTAGAGATCGACACTTTTTTAATCGTCGTGTTAAAAAATAATAAATCCGGTTTCCTCTATTTCATCGGAAAAATTTTCTCAAATTTTCAAACTCCTTAACGCTATTTGAACCTCATTGGATAACCTTACTTTTTCCGCAAAATTTTCAAAATTTCTAATCGACGATATAAGACGAGGCCAGTAAACTCGCAATCGTGTTTATACCCTTACACTAAAGTATTATCGTGGTCTAGAGATGGCCGATAATTTAGATAATGTGAGCAAAGCTGAACAAGAAATCGAGCAGCAGACACAACAAACAAATCAGGATCAAGATACCCCTGCTGCCGAAACACAACAAGAAAATACGCCAACAAATGAAGAAAATAATGACGAAAGCAATGCCAACAGCAATGAAATCCAAGAGGATAATACACCTCAACCAACTCAAGATGAAGCAACTTTAGAGCCTGGTAATGGCGTCTCCGTATCGGATGAAACTCCGACAATATCTGAGAACAATGAACAAAATAGTCCTGGCGCAAGTGTTACAGGAGATTCCAATGAAGAGATAGTAAATCAAGTCAATGGAGAACATCCTAATGTGCAGCCAGAAGAAGCGAAAACTACCGAGAACAATGAACAAAATAGCCCTGGCGCAAGTATTACAGGAGATTCCAATGAAGAGATAGTAAATCAAGTCAATGAAGAACAGCCTAATGTGCAGCCAGAAGAAGCGAAAACTACTGAGAACAAGGAACAAAATAGCCCCGGCGCAAGTGTTACAGGGGATTCCAATGAAGAGATAGTAAATCAAGTAAATCAAGAACAGCCTAATGTGCGTCCTGAAGAAGCGGAAACTACCGAAAACATTCAAAAACAAGCTGAATCGATCGATAAAGTGGACGAGCCAAACACAAAGCCAGATCAAGAAAGCACGGCTACCGAATCGAATCAACAGGTTTATTGACCATATTTCAACAAATATTGTTCTTGATTGTACTTCCATTCTTCACTGGCTCAGATTAGCGATAGAATTAATCATATCTCATACCATCCTTAAACTTTTTAAAAATAACTCACCTATGCTGTATTTAATTAATATTCTGTATTAAATAATTCGTAGAGCAATGAAGAAAACAGCGATCCTAATACACCGAAAGATACCGCAATTAGTATGATTATGAATATAATAAAACAGTGTAGCATATCGTGTAAACATAGTGATAATTTGAATTATATATTTTTAGCTATTGAAGAAATTCCCTACATGTCTCCCGATCTTGGCGAAATCACACAGAAATATGGCAATATTCCTAGGGATGAGCTACCACAATATGGTAAATATTTGAAACGGGCTAGTTGATAATTCCTTCAACAAAACATTTGTGCCAGAAAATTCAAAATAATCTTTACTTTACATATCTACGTCGAAATCTTTTCGAATGATCTCTAATATGTTATGTAACTCTTGTACTTAGTTCCACCAGAAAATAATCCAGAAGTAATGAATTTGGATAAATTGATGGGAGCTATAGAAAGTGGCGAAACCGAGCTGGAAAGCACAGCTGAACCACCAACTCTATTCGCTCGCCCAGAACTGCAAGAAAATTACAAAAAAATTAGTGAATTAAAAACAAAATTAATTGATGAAGAGTTTGAACCATATGTGGATAATTTCGAGCGAGAGGTACAAGATGATGTACTAATGATTGGCAAAGTGTCCCTTGAAGAAATACAGGTGCTGAAAATTTTTCACTAAATATCTTAGGATAGTAATGTAGGATTCTGTAAGGGTGCCGCATTTACTTTTAACTATCTGTTGCAAATATAAGTTTTTAAATGAAATTAGTCTTTGTAACTTAATTTTATGGTATTTATTAACAGGAAGAAGAGATGAGACTTAAAGCTGAGCATATAGAGTATCAACAACAACAGGCTACAATGCAAAAGAAATTACAAGAAGAAATTCTATTAAAAGAAGAAGGCGCAAAGAAGAATGTCGTCAAATATATTAAGGAAAAGCAAAAATCTGTTCGAAAACGAGAGGTATAATACTTTATATCTTACAAATTGCTGTTAATTACTTGTTTAACTTCGTTACATTACAACATAGCTAACATAATCGAGGTTCTCTTAACTTAACAGGCAGCCAATTTGCAAATGAATCGTATACAACAAGATCATTTACATAAATCATTTAAGCGCGCTGAAAATCAACTTATGACTGCATTAGAAAGACGCAAGGGTGAAGTTAAGGTTATTAGATATGTAAATTTATTGTGAATATGTTTAAATGTAACACAGTCGTCTGTGTCTGCCATTTTTCGTTATGAAAAAATAGCTGTGTCTTACAGTTAATTTCAATCACCGCATTATTATAGATTAGAGGTGTAAGTCCTTCGTTATTTCTCATAAATTAATTTTTCTTCTTACTTGTACTATACTCCTAGACACTTTATGGAGATTTAATTATGGCTGATAATGCTTATGGAGGTAGTAAAGGACGCCGTTGGAAAGTCGATTGGGATAAAACTCCCCAACCAATCCAAGTTAAGGTTAAATGTGTACGAGCTATCAAAGACAAATTACCTGGTACAGACTTCATAATTTCATTTGTTACGAATTCTTTCGCTTCATTACTGACCATTTCTACATACTTAATCTACGGATAATCATTCATATCAATTATTTCTTCAATTATTAGTCGGGCGATATGTCGTTATGGTATCCATGTATGATCGATTAGGTGGCCATGTTCTTCGTTGGTCAAACCTAAAAGGCCAACAATGGGGTGGTGCAACGCTTCCAGTTTCTCATGATGGGAACTTCTTCAATGTCGATATGAAGGTTAGCATATTACTGTAAACGAAGTAAAAAATTAAAGCTAGAAATTGATGCATATAGTAACTTATATATTATATATAACTTCGATTACTAGTTCAATCAAAGCGTCTTCACGGTGTGTCCATCGAAGCCCGATGTACGCCCTGGTATGATATTGGTCTTTGAGCTATTCATTCTCCGTGGTGAAGTAACACCAGTTGATCGGGTTGTTGGATGGGGATGTTTCCCAATCTGTGATGCTAAATTTAACATTATCGAAGGAAGGTAATATCAACTACACCGTTACACAATATTAAAGTTATTGTAGTGATAAGCATGGAGCCCAAATATTTTTTCATCATTGTGGTTCTCCGAATAAACCGATAGTCAAATATTCATTAGTATTCTGCTTTAAAATCTAGAAAATTATCTAAAATTTTTGTCTAATCTTCGCAAGCTGCATTTAATAAGTTCAGTATACTTTTATATTACCATAGGTCCTTCTAGACTTTGCTAATGTACCTTATATTTTTATCTTAGGTATAAGTGCCCCCTTATCAGGGGTGACGTTGATCCAAGTATTGACAAACATACCAAAATTGAAGCCTTGTTAACTCACGACATCGATTATTGGCTGGGTAACATTTATTTTGAAGTTATCAAGCTACCAAGGTATCGTAATTGCACATTTAACGTATTGCGACTAATTGCTACAATTTTAATATTAAGTTACTAAAAACTATGACTCAATTAACTTATTAGTAACAGCAACTAATGCTCGTTCCGTTTCAAAATATATCCAAATCGTCTCTAAATTTATGCTCGTAGATACTTGGCGGGCCAAAAGGAATATGAAGTAGAGTTACAATTTAGTTCCAACATGATTGCTTTCCCTGACCGTACACGAGTTGTTGAAGAAACTAAAGACGGAGAAAAGCCTGTCTTTGGATCTCGTGTTAACCTACAAACAGATGGAGAGTCAAGACGAGATAGTTTGATAAGTGCTATCTCTACTGGATCTGATAGCAAAGATAATAAAAATGACCAAGCAGATGAAAAGGTTAATATTATTTGAAATCAAAAATTATAGCTATTACAATCAACGCTTGCGATATTGACATATACAGATATAAACACAACTAATCAATGACTTTCTTTATTTATGAAACATATTTTATCAAAGCGTGTCGGCAAAATAGGTAAGAGTGGCTTCCAAACAGATCCAACATCTGTTGTAATGTCAAGAAAATTATTGGAAGGCACAGCCAGTGAGAAAGATGATGACTCCGATGACGAAAGTGATATAGATGAAACCTTCATGCAGAATAAAGATGAAGATTTTCAGCCTATACCAGGAGAGCCAGGATTATACTACAAGGTTAGACTATCTCTACAACTTTATAAGAACATTTTTTGTGCCTGTTATTAATCCCTCGAGTTAACTTGTACCTTATGCAAATGTAACAGAGGCATCTCAATAATCCCATCGATGTCTACGCTCGAAAGTATTACACCATGTTGCCTAAAACACAAATTCTTAGGACTATGCAAAAGCGAAAGCTAACGTATCAAGAAGAACTGGAACAGCATACCATGGCTGTACAGTACGTGATTAATAAAATTCACAAATAAAATCTGAAAATACGATTAATGAGATTAAGTAAAAACTATACCATTACATTTGGCAGTTTATTAGTTAAGGTGATTAGGGAAATCACCGATTGTACCCTGTTATTCTCATATTTACTTTATTTCATGTATAGAACTCCATTTTCGAACAAAGCCAGACCAGATCAAGATTCTAATGAAAAAATGGATTATGTTGGTAGACAGTTCCTGGCAGAGTTGGGTTTATCACAATGGCGATCCAGAGAATTTTGGGTAATGTTCGTTATGTTCATATTGGTATTCTTTGCCAGAATGTATGCCCATTACATCGGGCAATATGTTTATATCATTACATGGCTAAGCATATTTCCGAGCAGGTATAAAGAAATATTGGATTTGCTGTAATTATTATAAATATTTACAATTTATATTTTACCTTATATCCTTATTAGTGAAAATTTTTTTGTACATTTTGCGTTTCAATTAATTTATTGCATATCTCTTACTTGCATGTTAATAATACTAGGTTCGAATTCAAGCCCTATACTGTTACCTTAACCTATCAAGATTCCTTGCTGCATACGCGTCAAGAGATGTTAGTTGTTTTATTTGGACCTGGGACCGACATCGTTATATTTATACTTTTGGTCATTTCAAGTTGGGCATCACAGCGTATATTTGGAAGCTTTCCAAGTTTAGGATCTAAATTTACTATTGCCTTTGGTATTGAAACTATACTTGATCCTCTCCTTATCCTAATTGTGGATTGTGCTACCGGCCGATTTTCAAGTAAAATCGAACAAATTGGCGGCAATTATGTCAATGGAACTTTAATTGGATCAAAATCAGTCGTAACACCTGTAGGCGATGCATTCAAGTTATATAATCATTTCCTCAACTTACAGCAGAGTGGTGCGGTCGGCATATTGCTGACTAGTTTCTTATATATTTTCACCATTTTCATTGGATGTGCTATTTTATACATGTACTTTTTACGACTCCATAATAACGGTAGAATGTTAGATGTCTATCAGCGTTTACATGGCGGTCCTGGAGATTTCTTCATTCCCCATGACCTTGAAATCTCCAATGAAGAATTAAATTTCATCTGTAGAAAAGCAGAGAAATGGAGAGGTGAAGAGGGTGAACGTAGAAAAGTTGCCGTTTACGATTACGTTTGGGAAGAAGAGCAGGTAAACATTTAACACAATCGTTTTTAGTATCACAAACCTATTTTTTACCATAATCGCACATAGTAGGTTACGTATAATATACAGTTTTCACCATACATTTCTTAGGTTTAGATTGATAATAATCAAGTTGAACTAAATAATGTCATAGTAAGTAATTATAAATCATTTCTAACTCTATTTGGAATAAATAGATGGAAGAGAATGAATGGGGAGAGGTAATAGAATCGACAGACAAGGGAAAGAGAGAAACTACAACTCATTTGTCCATTCATTCGTTACATTTGGATGGACTCCGAGAGTTATACAGGCATTTTCTTAGACTACCAGACGGTGCTATTGTAGAGGTAATGATTGCCTGTATATAATTATTGATGAAATCGTCGTATTTGAGAACTATTTCCATTGATAGCTTCAGTACGAGTAACTTATATAAATTGATTCAAATTACGAATCTGGATCAGTCTTCGGAGTTAACAAGGCTGCTAAATAAATACATTAATAATTTCATTGCAGCTCTAATATGTCTGTTAAATTTAATTTTACACTCGTTGCAAGTAATAATATTTAAGTGAACTAAAATTAGACCTTTTAATTAATAGATATTTATGATAATCTATATCGTATACAAATACATATTGTCGGTATAATAAAAATTAACTCTTAACTGTGTCTATACCATAGGTATTTGGCGATATGGGAATTGTTGGAATGGATGATAAAGTAAGACAAGCCATACAGCGTGGTGCTCAAGATGTTGAAAACTTACTTGGTTCACAGCCAAATATACGACAATCGCAAGCTTCACTCCGAAGCCGCAAGAGTAGACCACCATCTCGTGTATCTCTTAGAAGCCAAACGGGTGATAATACATCAATGAAAGATATCCCACCCGTTTAACACTCAAGCAATGACGAATGAGTAAACTTGCAGCTAAAAAGCTTTTTATAATATTGAATTACAACTTTAAATCTAATCTTTAAGCTAACAGTCGTACGGTCGGCAAACTGACACATTCCTTAATTTGTTCATTTGGATAGTGTAGTATTAGAGGGTACGACATACATATGTCTAACTCTAATACAGTTTGCCGACAACGATCGACCGGGAACTCCGAATGTTGCTACACTTTCGTAAATAATTATAATTGTAATATGATAGTATTTCCTAATCATTGAGCACATAAAATTAATTGCGCAAGACCATTTTCTTTTTTTACGTTTTGTTAAGTACAAAGGCACTGCTCCGCTGCTAATCAATTTAAAGTTAAATTTCTAATTTTAACTGAGTAAGATAAGGCTTTTTTAAATTTTTGATCGATTGACAATCATTGCCACATAATTTACATTATGCATGCCAAGAATTGTCTTAGAGTTGTTTGTTTTTAATTAGATGTCATAGTAAAACATTTTATCGTCACTATGATTAATTCGACATGCGGGAATGTTATTCTTGCTAAATATAAGCGACATAATAACGCAAGCTATGCGATTGTTGTACAAGTAGTACAAAAATTTTACAGTAAGAGTAATTGATAGCCTATTTAGCAGTTAAGGATGACAAAATTTTTATGATTCCAACGTTTTTGTTCCTTATATTTCATTGCTAGCATTAAAATATGCTACTTGATGAATTGTTGACTTACACAACTAAGCCGTATCATAGCGGTTGATTCTGTGCTGCGATGACCATTTACTAGAATACTAAACAAGTAACTCTACTTAGGGTATCAATTTCTTATTAGACTGCTACTGAATTTGCTTCAACGCCGACCTCAAATCGAGAGATCAAGTCTAATTAGATATATACATATATATTAAATGTTATAAAACGTCTGATTAAATTTGCTCTGCTACAGTAAACCTACTGCAGTGAAAGTAAATTTACAAGTGATCATAGTATATGCTTATATTCTTATTGCAGTTGCAATAAACTTCTCTATATCTACCATTTGCAAAATACTTTTCTACTTTGACGTTTAATAAACATTATAATTGCAATATCTCTGATAAAGTAAAATGATTCTATGAAAGTTTTGAACGAGTTATTAAACTAGTAATAACATCAACGCAAAGGAAGAAACTATGTGGTTAAACGTAAATCTTTACAACGACTTTTTATTATCAGTTCGAATCAAATACACAAAGTATGTGTACATCTTACACAATTTTAAGAACTAATCGAAAAGTCCAAAGCCCATATCATCATCAGATTCTTCTTCTTCTTCTTGCTTTTCTTCCTTAGCGGGTTTTGCTTCTTCAGCTTCACCAGCTGCTGCAACAGGTGCAGCAACAATAAATGCACTTGGATCGGCTAAAAATGCTTTGGCCTAAAAGTATATTGAAAAATATTCTCAATACAAAGCCTATCAAACAGCAATGTAATGTATACACTTATTTACATACTTTCTCAGCTTCAGGGAAGTTGATGTCGGTCTCGACAGCCACAGCAAGTACATTCTATAGAAAAAAATATGTATCAAATCCAAACGTTAATAACTTCAATCTTATAAAATCAAACTAACAAAATTTACCTTAAACCCATTTATGATCGAATGTGGCACTGAAACCGTAGTTGGATAACCAATTTGCAAACTTACAGCAGCAACATGTTGAACACCCTACATCAGCGATTTTGCAAATTGTATATCAATCATAATAGTGTAATCCAAATGCAATTCGAATAGGTGCTTTGGGCTGATTACAACAGTGATATACTGGATACTGTAATTATACTGTATGTATATACAATACCTACCTGAAGAAATTTCTTAACGATATCATCATCAGTAATATCCAGTACAGCTGGATCATATATGCTGCCTTCATCATAGACTATAAATTGTAATCAATTAGTGCAAAGTAGATTATATAAAGTATTACAAGTTTTATAAGACACTAGCTAGCAGAAGAACGTTCCAATACTTACTTTTCAAAATTTTTAGACCGTATGTAAAGGGAGAAACCTTCAACATATTCAGTAACGTAGCTTCAGAAGCTCCAACTTTCTCGTCCTTCTTGATCAAGTGAACTTTATTCTAGAATGAGAAAGGTTAAGCTGTTATAGATGTGACCAATATACTAACCACTGATGATCCAAATTTATCCTATTGTCTTTATTTTTTTTACCAAAATTTCGATGGTTCCTCTGGAAATCTTAGTCGGGATTGTTAAAGCCTGGAAGAAAGACGTTTTCTCCGGTCCGAGTCCAGTATTTTGAGGATCAAGGAATACATCGATAGGTGCCAATGCTCCTGCTTTAGCTGGTGCAGCAACCTGTAATTAAATAACGTGTATTAGTTGTACCAGCCTAGTAAATAACTCTAATCATGATTATAACACATGTAACGCAATTAATGTAGCAAGTACCTTGTTTGCAAGAATCTTGTCACGTATATCATTTAGATTCTCCTTGGTGAATACGAATCCAACATTACCACGAATGTGAGTCAGCAAGCTATGTGATATAGATTTAGTACAATGGTTAATTGTACAACACAAGTCAATTCTATCGTAGAAAGTCGCGTAATTACTTTTCAAGGTTGGGATTATTGTTCATATGTCCTCGAATAGCCTTGCGGATCATAGTATTCTTTCCCATGAGAACTTCTGTGAATATCAATTGAAAGGTATTATGAAAATTTTTCCAATACTGTTTCACAATATATGTGCGGCCTAGATATCATCATGAGAAATAAGATTAGTAATATTAAATTCAACTTACCGGCATGACCACGAAGGCTAATGCGAATCTGTTGCATTTGATTTGAGCCAACATTGTCAACGTTGACAATGAAGACTCTTGGGAACTCATCAAGTAAATTCTGCAAAAAGAATATTGCAATTTTTGAACAACTAATCGTACAAAGCCACGTCTTAAGCGCGCTAGCAAATACAGTCTTCCACTGCTATTAATAAATTGCTGCCAAAGTAGCGAACATTATTTTATGCCAAGATGTTGAAATACTTACGATGAGCCTAATGAAATAGTTACTCTTCCAAGTTGCTCTGTCTTCCCTGACCATTTTAGATTGGGCAAGGATGGAATTTTAAAGACTAAAAAATAATATACAAACACTTCGATTAGTGTTAGTAAACTAACGTTGAGGACTCTATCTTCACAGAATAACACTAATCATCTCCGTTGATTTCCAGAGCATTATCTCTACGCTAAGCTGAACTACAACGGCTAGAACATCAATTACTTATAAGTCTCTTGCATAAAATACGAACGCGCACATGATAGCCATGTTTTACAGGAACGCTAGTGCCCGTGCCATGACGACGTGCTATACTGTAGATGTTATATAGGGAAAATTGTAGTACTGTACTGGACTCAACCCAGTGATAGGGTTATTTCAATTTTAGCGTGCAAATGGACGGAAACGAGTGGAAAGTTTGTGGAATAAAAGTCTTACGGGACGTTAAAAGCAAGTAAAGAATTAACCTCTATATAACAAATAATCTAATACACCGTTTAAAACTATAAATTATCAAGATTATTATGACGAAGTGAAGAATTTTGAAGAATTATCACATTTTCATCAGCCATTCCTACCTTGAAGAAATTCCGCTAGAAAAGAAGTAAAGGAGGAAGAATCACATGGACCGCACCGTCCCATGATGCTTCATGGGCATCAAAAACCTCAATCCGTCCCGACATCCGTACTGTATCCCTGGTACTACAGGATACAGTATAGTACAGTACAGTGCAGACTGTACAGTACGGACTCAACCGTACAGTACTTTACAATACTGTACAATACTGTAGTAAACTACAAATTATTACAGTACCGAACCAAACCTTCGACAGGTACAGTATAACTGTATCCTGTACTGCCTGTAGTACCAGGGATACAGTACGGATGTCGGGACGGATTGAGGTTTTTGATGTGGTACACCATACAAAGTATTGTAGACCGTACTGTACAGTGTACAGTACAGTACTGTACTGTAATAATTTATAGTTTACAGTACTGTACAGTACAGTACTATTGTATTGTAAAGTGTACTGTACTGTACGGTAGAGTCCGTACTGTACGGTGTACCGTAGTACTGTACAGTACAGTACTGTAGACTGTAGTGTAGCTCCCATGCTGTTAGCGTACGGTAGATCCGAGTAATGGCGAGTATAGTATACGGTTGCAAACGCACTATACTGTACACTTGAATAACCAGTCCATTCGCCAGCCTCCACATACTGTATGAGCACTGGTAGAGTAGATATTCTACAGATCCATTGGACGACAGGTAGCAACCTAAAAGAATGAATTAATCAGAAATAGGCTAGAACTTATTCAGGGACTTGTAAAAGAAAACGAGGTCTGAATAGGTGTTGGAATAGTTTTATCCCTCTCTCTTTTCTTCCTAAGGTAGTGTCCCTGCTTCCTTGATGCTGTACTGTACTGTACTGTGTACAGTGGACGCGAGAGACCGTTACTGTACAGTACTGTATGGGCATTACATTACATGCTTGAAATGCGAATCGATCTGATTATTTCTTCTCGTTTTCTTCTAATCCTACTGCACTACAGTACTTGTTTCATCTACAAATCACTTCCGTCCGAGAAGCAGCGACTCTACTGCTGCTGTAAAACCAAGAAGCTAAAACAATTTTGTAAACTAGAACACCGTGGGCCACAACCATGTCAAAGGATCATTTGCCACGTGGCTGAAATTCAAGAATTTGATATCAATAAATTGATTATTTCTATCTTTGTCTGACTCTATAAAGTAACCAACGTGTAATAATTAACGGCGCTTATGGACGTGCAAATGTCCCTGAAATATATTCCGCAGTATAACAATGTACAGATGGTAAATAACAGCCGCCATACTCCGTATGTGCCAGAATAGCCCAGATCATACTAATTAGGCCTATTATAGCTACAGTAGATGTTTACAATTTAATAGCTAATATAATTACTCTTGCAGTCGTCACTAAAAATTGAAGTCCAAGATCATTGTGGCTTTGTATATTGTGCAATAATATCCAATTTGGATATATCTATACGTATAATTATGCTGTAATAAGCGTTTTACTAGTTCCTACGTAATACAGTAACGGTCATCAATTAGTAATATTACAGTAATATCCTGTTATCAAAGTAGTTGGTACAGTATTTATTTACGTTACTGTGCCTCTTTCATTTTATCATTAATTAATTATCGATCATTCCTGACGAAAGAGGAACTTTTTGAGTTATATTAGGCAATTAGGAATCCCTCATGATATCTTCATTAATTAAAAAAATAAAAACGCGTTGTGGACGATCAAATTTCGAATTAGCAGACAATATACAGAACAAGGTATTGCTATTTATAACTAGTACTTCAACCTCGACAAAGTAAAGCAATCAATGCCAATCATTTTATAAATCAGGCGCGCATTCATTTGCTAACTGCCTACCGACCAAGTCGGTCGCCCATGATTCATATGTGCAATTAACTTTAATGTTAAACGTTAATTAAAAATCTAAAGTCTGTCTACTTAGCGGCATAGTATCACAGGGTGCGATACAATTAAGAATGCGGAAAGGCACAGCAGTACGTCTGCAGCTATATATATCATTTTTTAACTGTAAAGATATATCAAACACCCCCGTAATTTGCATACGGTGCTGTAATTTGAGGCATTACAAAACAGCTTCCGTTACTGTAAGTATTTACAAGACTACAACAGTAATTACGAATTTGTTTCTATTTTAGTATCCAGGTATATAATAACTGGTAAAGTTTGACATTAAAGTATCAGACCATTAAACCATATTATAGATTACAGTGTTCACTTTGTGCAAATATACAGATGTACATTTGTACAGTATTGCAGTAAATTCTTGTAAAACAGCTTGGAACTTCCTTGCTTACTTTCTAGAGGCATTTAATTAAAAACAAGATTGGAATTTTTTTTTCTTTAACACGATACATTGCAAATGAAAGCTAGGTACTCTTAAGAAATTGCCGGTATGCAGTAATCAACTGTTTTAAATCAAGATTTATAGCAACTTGGCAACATTATACAGGCCGTAAACTAATCACTGTATATTGGATACCGAAAGAGACATTGTTTTACTTTCGTTAACTTCTGCATTACCCACAAATTGTAACCGAAGGTTCCTCCAAAAAAATCTAGATCTAAATTCAAGTACATGTAAGTATTTTGTCAACGATTACATTCTCAATCAAAATTCAACTGAAATTGTAATTTATTGGACTTGATCCTATCATTTCTATGCTGCTGCAGGGCTTGTTGGTTTACAGAGTAAACATTGTTATTATTCGACGAGTTTTCATTTCACATATACAGTACGATAGCGCTTGTACACAAGTGCCACATTGTTACCAAATTATGTCTCCGACGAAGTTGTATACTGTATAGTATAGTGAAACAGTATAAACTTAGTAATTAGTAATTATCTATAATTCAGCATTGATTGCAATTCCATTGCTTCTAGCGCATTAAAGACGTCACAGATTTGGTTATTAATTAGTGCATATCATTTTCACATAAATATCTCGCGGATAAGGTAGACGATTCTGTTAACATATTACAGGTGCCTATCAATCAATATAGTAGCATACGCGTAAGGTTAGATGGTGTAGGTAAGTTTATATTGTTTTTATTACTTGAAAAATTGACCATAACAAACTCAATTCTAGCGAATCGGTGACTTAACATACAGTACTTGAAACTGGATCCGAATTTTCCAATACTATAGTCTATGACCGTATACTATGAGCGTAGTGTTATATTCTCCTTGTCAATGTCCACAGAATTGCCTTAACAAATAAGAAAATCTGTCATACTTCAAATTTTTGAAATATCTTGACGTATGCTGTTGTTGTTATTACGGCACCACTTGTTGTTTTACGTAGTTAGTATTAGTAGTTGATATTACCACACTAGACGGGCTTGCATCTTACAAATTTTTATACTTTGTAGCGGTAAGTATCAATAACAGTAGATAATTAATTGTGCCTTCAGTCTTGCTTTCATGAACGATATATTTATATTTACACTAGCACAAAATCCCTTTCATATGCTTGTTTCATCGTTGATCAATGCTAAATTCCCAATATTGAATAAAATAGTTGGACAGAGTAGACAAAATAATGTACTTTATTCAACTGTACAACATACACACACAAAATGATTTAAATTTAATATTATAATAATTGATGCAACATCAACAAAGAAAATAATTTTCGTTTTGATCGACTCCTAAAATACATTATAGTACAGTAATGTTAAGTGGATGCTACCATGATTACTATGCTTGACTAGAAGGTATTATTGTACTGCATACGTTGAGTAGATACGTCTATGATTGAACCAGGAAGGAACTGCTGGCCTCCCTCCATGTATCGATTCTGTATCAGTTAAATGTTCTACTGCGAGTGTAGTATGTGAATAGTGTTGCCAAACTCTAATATGACATGTATATTGAACCCTCATTAAAATTATTACGGCCACAGCCATTTATTTTTTCCGGACAAAAAAGCTCTACTGAAGTACAGTACTGCAATAATGATATGCAATTAATTATTAATCCATTATTTTTTTCTCCTTTTCATTCAACCACTGCTGTGCTAATATTCGAGTGACGTGGGCGAATCATTTGCACAGTAAACTATAATGTCGGAGCGTTGTGAGATGAATACCTGCTGTACATAAGATATATTCAGTCAACTACTGATGTCCTAATAACATGCTAGAATAATGCAATACCGTATAACATGATATAAAAACGTAACATTTTCAACTGTACAATGTGTACACGGAAGTTAACTTTGTCTAATCTGGTCCAGACTAGAGTGTGCATCTTATAAACATGGAGGCGACAATCATACATATTCGTACGTGCTAACGCCAGAGTTGTTATTTGCACTCTACATACCGAGTATTTTAATTATTAACTGCAGCCAGGGGCTTATTCAACCGAAAAATCTTATAGAAAAGTCAGTTCATGAAATAGCAGTTGGCTCAACAGAAATAAACTTGATAGAATTCAAAGGAGATCAAGGATCATCCTCTGTTATATTTTACCCATTTTACCCATTTTATACGTGCCGTAAGAAAAGCTTGATTCGATAAAATCTTTCTGACTTTCCAGTTTACAAACGATGAAGAGAGTATGCGAGATTTATACCCATATACTGTGTACAGTTACAAACCAAAATCTACAATTACTTTTATAAGCTTAATAAGCTTAACCGACTATTTTACATCATACAATTGCTTTACTTCATGTTACAGTATTACTAAATCATCACACTTTCAAGGTACTGTGAAATCACTGTATTAAATCAAGCTATATCCTTCTATTTTCTTTTAGTAGTCCTTGCCTTAAGCACGTTTTATCGCTAGTTACAGTAGCCTATGGACTATGTTACGTAGAGCACATTTTGCGATATTATACACTAGTATAATAGACGTACTGTATATTAAAACTAAAATTATATTCAGTACTGTATTTTATAATTAAAAATCAATGCATGAATTTCATTCTTGAAAACATCTAGGCTATAATTTTGAGCCCGTTTATTGAAGCAGGGAAATTTTCTGGTAATAAAATTAAAGTCTTGAATCAATATCTTGAAACTGCTATATCCGGTTGCATGC